GAAAGAGAAAAGAAGAAGAATTATCAGTTCTTTTCTAGGGGTCATCCTGTTTCTGAAGGTAGGTGAAAAGTGCACAGAAAGCAGCATCGAGGAGAGGGCGGTGGGGTGGGCAGTGGGCAGACCGGATGCAACAGGAAGATGCAAGGCACCAGGGCAGTGGCGATAACCTTTCAACTAGAGGATGGAACCGCAACGTTTTTTAGCGTAGCGTTTTTAGCGTTTTAGCGTAGCGTTTTATACGCTACGCTAGCCCCAAGCATTTGCGTTTTTTAGCGTGTTTGTGTAGTAGTGTATAAAAACAGCGTTTTTAGCGTTTTATAGCGTTTTATCTCTGTTTTTAACGTTTTTCAATGAAGATGCCACTTACAACCTTGTATAACTTACTTCACCAACTCTTTATACATATATATGAATTTCTGGATGGTGGTACTGGTGCCGGTGCGTGTTGGTATGGTTCTATAGCACGATCGGGCCTGAAAATGACATGTTTGGATGCAAAATGAGGTCAGATATGTTACTTTGGGTTATCTGGAAGGATGTGCTGCAGTGACCAAACATGAACTAACTCCTTATACATATAGATGAACTTTCTGGATGGTGGTACTGGTGCCGGTGCGTGTTGGTATGGTTCTATAGCACTATCGGCCTGAAAATGACATGTTTGATGCAAAATGAGGTCAGATATGCTACTTTGGGTTATCTGGAAGGATGTGCTGCAGTGACCAAACATGAACTAACTCTTTATACATATAGATGAACTTTCTGGACGGTGGTACTGGTGCCGGTGCCATTTCTAAAGAATCACACCATTCTTAATAGTCTGATTGCACTCTATTGTAGTGCACCAATACTGTAAAAAACGCTAACAGAAACGCTAACAAAAACGCTAATAAAACGCTAACAAAAACGCTGAGCTCATAGTAATAAAAAACGCTAAAAAACGCATAATAACAAACGCTAAGGGGACCTGTTAGCGTTTAAACGCTACGCTTGACCCTAGCGTTTGCGGTTCCATCCTCTACTTTCAACCTTTCTGCTTTTGTAGGATTCGATTCATAATAATTGACGGTCGATAAAGAATAGACTGCTTGGTAAATTAGCTACTATTGTGGACAATTCCATGGCACTTTGTATTGCCCTGTTTGTTTCAATTGCAATATACACTCGAGGAAAGGGCACCAGAAATGGGAGCAACGCATGAAGCAAAGCATGGCGGATTGAGCTGAGATTGTTAAAGGGTTGCTTTGGTGGCTCACGCCCATTTACATTATCTGCCTTGCCTATTCAGGATTCAGGCCACCTCTACATGTAATAGCAGGTGGTGCTGATAACTTGTTGGCGCCACGAGTGGGGATGCCGGTATGGTGACAGGTCGGGCAGCTTTAGATAATGGGTCATCGCCCTGTGACATCGACACAACAAACTAGGGAAACTTCTTCTGGTCCTCCAAGAAGGTAGTGCAGGGAGCGGAGGAGAGCCCACCAATCCAATACTCATACCGGTACTACTAGACACTAGACTACCGGTACATTTACTCTTTACTCTAGTCTAAAAAACTGTACTTGAAACTACACACGCTCTAAATAATGTATGATACTCAGTAGTCTACCAGGCACCAAATAAATACTCCACTTGGTGGAGCTCTAGCTAGGATGACGCCTGGGACCTGGACGTGTGCAGCTCCTTGATTCTTATTTCCTTGGCTTCTTTAGTTTTATCAATTTTTTCCGATTCGATTCTGGTTCCTTGCACCTTGCACCACCCAAGTTCCCAGCAATAATGACTCCACTTCCAGTATTCAATGTTTAATGTTTCTGCACGGAACCCTTTGGAGAGCGAAAGGGTAGTGTACATTAAGAAAGGGAGCACTTTTAGCTCAATGGCCAAACAAACGCTGCAACACGTGGCGGAAGATAGTCAACAGAACCGACTATCTTCAAGTTGTGCGTCGACGTAGCGTTTTCTGCCGGTTCTTGAAGACTCTTTCAATGTCTTTCAACATCTCAAATTCAGATGCTCCGAAAGAGGGGCGGGAAGGTGTCCAAATATGCGTACTCGTTCTTGCTATGGTTCCTAACTATTAATAAACTGTTCCTAAAGTGCCCGAATTGTGAACTCCCTTTTCTTGTGATGCATTATTACGGTTCGTCCCTTTCTTTTTAATAACCGGAACCGGCGTTCCCGAACCACCACGACATCCCATGGTGCTAAGAACAGGCAGAAGAGCTCTATAAGAGCTTCTATAAGTGTGTTCAGTACATTGGATGATAGTGGACTGGCATGGGCATTGAAAGAAATAATGAGTTACCTCCAGCTCCTACTTACTTTGTAGACTGTTTGACGCAACATGAGAAGCTCATGAGAGATCCTGAAAGAAAATAATGGCCAGTGGTTTTCGGTTCTGGTTACAAGTGCGTCTCTACGTCTCTACACTATCAACGCACCTATTCAGCACTCCTCAAGCATTCTTCGGTTGCTCAGTTTCCGATCAGTTTTTAGTACCGGTATGTGTTAGGAGTGTGGCGTAGGGCTCTACAGGTATCTTCAGTATTCGTGTGAACTAGCTCCACCCCGCCACGTAATTTGCTGCACGTGGACCAACCATCATAGCTCTTGTGGTTGACAGCTGCAGCATTCTGGTTTGATTATCGGAGCGGTCACAAGAGCTCACGATAAGGAAAGAGAGAAAAGTTTTGCACTTCTTTCTTTTGCATAAAAACCAAACTTGGGACTTCTTCCTCTTTTCTCGTCTCGAGCGAACTAACCAAAGCAACGGAACGATGACCAGCAACCACAGCACTTTCCAAGCTTCTTCAGGAGCCACCAAGATGGACGACGCCCCGGCAATCGTCAGTGGCAGTGTGGCCAAGTGCAGCTATCGCGACCTCTCCCAGGAAACGGAGAAGAGTGGGCAAGCTCTCGATGAATCTTTCCCCACCAAGCTGCACTTCATGCTGGCCGATTTGGAGAGAGATGGTCATGACTTTATTGTCTCTTGGCATGTTCATGGAAGGTAAGGCGACGACAGGGGCTCGGTGATTGTGTTTCTATTCCTGTCCTGCTCAAGAACATACATACTGACCGTTGCTTTCCCGCGCTTGCAGATGCTTCTCAGTTCGCCGTCAGCCTCTCTTTGTCAAGCATGTTATGCCATGTTACTTCCGTCAGTCCAAGTTTCCCAGCTTCCAGCGCCAATTGAACCTGTACGGCTTTCGAAGAATCACTTCCGGCCCAGACAAAGGATGTAAGTGATAAGGAGAAAGAATGACCGGTGGGTAGCAGCCTCTTCAAATGTCTCACGCCCCCTCTTCTATTCTGAACTTCAGCCTACTACCACGAGTGCTTCCTTCGAGGGAAACCCTTTCTGGCAAGCCGCATCCAGCGCCAGAGGATCAAGGGAACCGGATCTCGCAAGCCCGCGGTTCCTGAACAAGAGCCATGCTTTCATGAAATGCCCTTTCTTCCACCCTCTGACATGGCCAAGTACAAGGCAGCAGCACCAGCGAATGATGCCGTCGCTCCTACGGCCACTTCCGTCGGCAGGTTGGCAGATACTCATCTCCAGCTTCAACAGAGCCTTCTTGGCCTCCCGCCCCCTCCTCGCTTGGAGTCCGTGTTGGGGGTTCCTTCCAGTGCAGACGTTCTATCGATGCTCTGCAGGAACAGGTCGCCCAGCGCAGCACTGTCCCAACCGTTGTCGGTCACAGGGTTGGCTTCGGCTTCTCCTCTGACCGCAGTTATGGCCACCAGGCTATCGGCAGCCAAGTTGGCGGCAGCGAGAGCAGTGGCCAATCCTCCAGCAAGAAGAACCTCTCTGGCCGTTCCGGACGTATCCAGTAGTCTTTTCAGCCCTCCTCGGCTTGCCGCTCGCCCTTCCGCCGCTGCAGCGTTGGCAGAGTTCGACCGCGCCTTGGCCATGGGGGGCGCTGGTGGGGGAAACAGTGTGGTCAGACAGCTCATCAACCGAAGCATTGCCAACAGGCCTAATGCTTCTTCCCTCTTTACTCAGACAAACGCCTTCTTCGGTGGCTACTAGAGAACAATGCCAAATCAGAACAAGGAAGGAAGGCGACAGTACTACAATTTTGATCCACTTGAATATATACTGTATGCACATCATAAACAAACACAAAAGACGAAGATAAAAAGTCACACAACGTACCTGGTAATAAACTCTAAATACATAATGTACATGGATTAGATGAACGTGATGATGATGATTGAATCAAATCCACATTTGTAGTGCTTGGTGTGATGTGGCTTGGGAGTCTAGCTACCTGCATGTCATACCCACAGGCAAAGTCCCAGGGCCACTTTGGATTCTAGCATGTAACGATGGTCTTTCTTTCCGCAGAACTCGAATGCGAGTAGTTATTGCAAACGCACGTTCGCTGTTGCCAATAGCCAGTAATTTCGAGATCGGTTCTGATACAGCTTTCCGTAAAACAAAGAACTTGTCACTGAGAAGCTCGGAGAGACTCGACTCATCCATTCGTTTGGTTAGAATAAATCAATAAATCCACGGAGGGTACAGCTGCATTCGAAGCTTGAGATGATGAAAAGCTGCTCAATGAACACGTTGCTTGCAAGCAAGCCGTCCTCGGAGCTCGGCGGGAACTTGAATTGAGGAAGTGTGACTGCCAACCGTGGTTGGACCTTTTCTATGGGAATAGTGTGCGCTCTAAAATGACGTCACCCGAGAGATCTTTGATTTGGGAAGAGCGATCTTTTTGGTGCCAGCGACAGCCATTTTGCTGTTGCCTTCCAAGTGGCGGAGTTGCGGGGAATGGCTTTTCCGAGCCAACCTGCTGTTTTAGGTGGATATTCCACTTTGAGTCATGCTTCCAGATTCCAGCTTTCTTCCAGATTACGTCACCTGGTACCGGTACAGTACACAGTACTAATGTAGATGCATCCAGATTGTGTCATTCTTCCAGATTGTGTCATTCTTCCAGATTGTGCCATTCTTCTATTTTCAGTCATTCTTCCAAAAGATACCAATAATGGTACCGGTAGGAACCTGACACAGGCCCAAAACAGGTATTCCCGCAACTCCAGTGTGGAAACCCCAAAAGGTTGATAGAAACCTTGCTTAAAAAAAGCTGCCGCATCACCTACCAGGTACCCAGAGAGCAACTGAGAACTCTACAGCTGATCCATGAAACCATTCCCTTCTTTTTTAGCTTGTTTCTTGTCATTTCTGTGCATCGGAGCCTCTACCCCTGCCTTTGCCTTTCTGAACCGTCCTGTATCAAACAACCATAACATGGCGACTCTTGAGCCAGGCACCAACATCTGCGATCTCCCCGGTGATCCGTCGTTGATCCTGACGACAAATGTTGACTTGGGTGACAAGAAGATGGAGATCATGAAAGGTAGTTTTTCATTCAAATCTGATGATAAAACTAGCTAAATTCGTGGCACACAGTATTACCATGTTGCTAACGGAATGTTTCTCTCTTACCCTTTTTCCTACCACCACAACGACAACTCTCAACCTTCAAAGCTTGTTCCAAGGCCATTCAAGCGGCAACTGGCAAGCCCGAGGCCTACATTGGTAAGAAACTCTCCCATCTGTCCGTCTGTGCAAAATCATCATGCTGCAAGAGCCTCATCATGGCCTCTAACTGTTTTTTGGCATGCATGTTCAATCTGATCCGGATTGCTGGATTCCCATTCTAATGAAACGCTGCTTCCGCTGCTTCTTCTACAATCATCTGATCTAAAGCCGTCAGCATCAATGACAAGGCCAGTGTCATTTTTGGGGGCACGGACGAACCAACCGCCCTTGGTTGCCTCTACTCGATTGGTGCCATTGCTCAAGAATCCAATGGCAAGATTCAGACATCGGTGACGGATTTGTTGGAACCCTTTGGTGTATCGGAGAGCCGTATCTACATCAACTTTTTTGACATGCCCCGAGCCAATGTTGGATGGAGCCGTAGAACATTTGCTGGATAGGTTTTGCACTAAGATTTCCTCGTGTAGACCAAAGGCACACAAAAAATACAAACATCGTCTGCAATCCAGCTTTGGTAGCGGCATTGACTTTTAATGATGGATAAGCAGAGTTGATGAGTGGTAGACCACACGCACTTTTGCACCGTCAATCTCCGCCTACATCCCACCAGCATCGAATCCACCAAAGTATTTTCTATTCTTAGCATGCAATAGAACAAGTAGTAGGTCTGACTCGACTCAATGAGGGCACTGACGGAAACAACGAAACAGACCAAGTCACAGTAGTTGACCACCCAAAAAGAAGCGGAGGACCGCACAATTTTAATTGTTGCCTTTTGGGTCTCCGCCCACCAATTTATCAGAGTTTCCCACGAACAAACAAGTCTGATATTGTTGCATTTATTAGCACGATCCGTTGCTCCTATCGCTGCCTCATCTCTGACGCATCCCCTGTTTTGGTGGACCCTGTCTTGGTCGGTACCAACGACACTTGTTCTTCGTCTTTGCTGTCACTATTGAGATTTGATTCAATATCCTTGCTTGCTTTAGAATCCATTCCTCCACCGGTAACTTTTTCCATTACCGACACATAAGAATAATAGGCCGATCCAGCCAAGACCACAACAATACCACATCCATTTAGTGGTTCAATGACAACGCCAAAGATGATGGTGGAAAGAATAATCATGAGGACCTGCTTGACATTGGCGGTGATGCACAATGTCAGTGGTGATGTCACTTTGTTGGCTTGTAGGGAGCAAATATTGAGGGAAAACGAAAAGACACCGGATGTCAAGACCACAATGGCAGGGTAGTAGAATTCAAACCACCCCACATCGGATACATCCGCATAGGCGGCATTGACGCGTGCGAATATGGAGGATACTTCACCCGTCATTAAGCTCAATACCAGACACTGCACCAGTGCCAATGGTGCCATGTGTCCTAGCAAATCGACAGGATGCAATTTCGTGGGCCCTGTCATCATTTCTCCCGACGCCACCACTTTGAGTGCTGCCAGTGTAATACATAGGAGTGTGTAGAAAAATCCCAACCAAGTGTAACTCATATCACCAAAACAAGCCATGGCAACTCCAATGATCACAGGTACGACCGCCTTGATTCGCTGTGCCGAAACTGGTTTTTTGAGTGCCAATCCCATGCCAATGGTCAATGCAGGGACCAAGGATCGCATGACTTGATTGAAATTCACAGACACGTGTCGTAGAGAGACATTTCCAATAGCAATATTGAGTGAGAAAATCACACTAAACGCCAGAATTTTTTGTCGGCCCTTGGGATCCAATTCTTTGCGGGTGATATTGCCCAGTAGGCGCTGAAAGAATCCCAATTGTTTTCTGGATGCTTGGCCTTCGGAAATACCGGCTGCTTTGAGGCGTTGATTGTCACGACGGATACTCCAAAAGACACCTTGGCTACCGATGGAGTTGCATACCATATGCACAAAACTGAGAAAGTAGGGATAGTGGAAATCCACCTTGGCAAAGGCCGCTTTGTTGAGAAGTGTCACACCCACATTATTGGCAGTCCAAACCACCAGCCAGAATCTGTCATGTAAGGAATGCAGGCACGAGACAAGCACAAGTGAGACATGATGAAGGAGATAATCATGAAAGATATTTGGCAAAAACACACAGACAGCGCACCCCAACCAGTAGACAGCTCCCCACCGACGGAAAAAACACTTGCAATTGACCTACATGGCTTCCTTGTTGATTTCTGGCTTCACCATCTCGATTTGGATGAATTGCGCTGTGCCTGGTTGGCCAAGGAAACCTTGCTACTCGAGAAATGACCTCTTGTATGATTTCTACAAGTACGGGAGCGTTTTGGTCCTGAAAGTTGTTGGTATCGCTGATGGTTTACCGAGACGAAACAAAATGGGTGGGCGGTCATTTTGAGATTGTTTCGGGGTGGTGGCAACTTGAGAGACAGGTCACGGGAATCCGACCAGCCAGACACATCTGGAATTCAAGAAGCTGCGGTAACAATATATTTTAATTAGCTTCACATTTACCTCAAATACCCTGCTACATGTATCTTCCTTGCTAGCTAGAGCTACTAGAGTAGCGGTAGTTGCCAAGCTACAGCTCGTAACAGATCGTACCCGTACTAAGTAGTGGACTTTGTGGTATGAAGGACTGCGTGAAAATAAGGCGGAGTTGGGCCACTGTCGAATACAGTCTAGCCATCCTGCACTTTTAGCCAACCACCAAGAGGTTTTCCAGCCAGCTGAATTTGGAGAATAGGCAGCACATGTTGAGAGCACCGTGGACAGGGTGAATGTGCATGTACTAGTAATTCGCATGGAGGTCTCACCAGGAACAAGCCTGGTAAGGGATTCAGAGCTTAAGGCCGGAGGTGGAATTCTTTGATAAACCTCGCCGCGGTTCGTAGCTACCATGACTCCTGCTACTTTGACTGCGACTAGCAGAGGAGAGGGGAATAGGAGGAGACCAGTTTCGATTTCGATTCTCATTGCACCACTGACCCACATCAATGTCGTCGCGCAGCCAACCCAAGTCTGGGTTTCCAATAAAGTCTACTAGTTACTTCCAGCCTTCTTCCATAGTATCAAATGCTGCATCTAGGAACACTAGTAGCTAGGATCCAACCACGATTTTCCACACTTTTAAAGTCTAACATCATGGGTGGCTTTCAAAGGATCCGTCCTGTTGGCAAATCATCCCGGGCAGCTGGCTGGGAAGTCTAGGGACCAAACAACACGCGAGTCATCACTGTTTGGAAGATATGTCAATTCGCAACCAGGCCGGTTCCTGATAAACGGAATTGACTAACGAAAAGCAACAACGAGACAGTTTGTGCTAGTTCCAAGTTGCAGTGTACCGGTTGAGGACTTCAAAATAACTCGGAAAGGAGAGCAAACACGATCCTCCTCGACGGTTGTGATTCATTTAGCAAAGATGGTCATGTAGCTCGGAACGCACTGTAGGTCCGCTCCTGCCTGCATGAACATAATCAAGGGGATAGTACTTTTTTGATGTGATCGGCACGAGCCGTGCTAAAAACATACATGGACAATACTGATACTCCAGTATTACCACCAAGCTGTTCGAGCGAAACCAGCGTTATCATACCTGTTTAGGCTACATAGCGACAGAGAAGCAACAATAATGGTCAGTTCCAAGACAGAGATCCTACTGGCTTAGCCAGCCAGCAGGCTCCAGCCAAAAATCTCCTGTCTTCGCAAGGGTACTGTACTGCTTGGTCCAGTAACAGATCGTGCTAGCTTGGCAAGTTTGCTAGGCAAACCTGGCTAAAATCAGTGACATGAGGTAAATTTTGATCTGACAAATCAATCAGAAACTCTAATCTTCCTTTTACTTTACTCCTCCCTCGAGTGCCGTAATCCCGAGCTGCGGAAAGAGACGTCAAGGGAGTGAAGCACACTCAGAGCATTTTCTACCGCTCGTTTAGATATCTATGAACATTTTTCGTTTTGATATTTAGAGGATAAACTGTCACCACTGAAAAAGCAGTCTCTATCAGTTTTGTCTATTTTTCGTTTCAATTGACTCACTGGACTCAATCTGTACGTGTTCTCATGGACGATTTCGTTTCAATTGACTCACTGGACTCAATCCGTAGGACGATTTTTACTAAATCTTCACTGGTTAAAATGGGGTCATGACAAAATCAAAACGGAGAGCAATTTTTCGTTTTGATTGGCTTGATCTAAACAAAATTTTCGTTTTCGTTTAAATTTGGTCCAAACGGAATCTAAACAGCATTTCTACAACAGTGCTAGAAACAAGATATGATCAAATTTGGTTTAGATTGTGTTCAAATGACCCAATCTAAACAAAATCTGATGGTACGGTAGAAGATGCTCTCAATCCCACCTTGCCGCCTCCACTGAACGTTCTAAATGGCTCCCAAACCGGAACCTGCGTTGGTGGTTCCCCTGCAGCTGCATGCTCACAACGAAGGCTAACACGATTGAGTGTGCCGTGCTTTGGTTTTCGCACAAATTACACCGAAACCGAACAAACAACAACAACACCGACACACAAGTAGCAGTCTGCACATGCAATCGATCATAAACCTCCGCACAACGCCGCTAGATCAGCCATGACACCAGAAAATGAGTCTGTTTACGAGGGGGATACTATTTCTACCCTCAAGGCGATGAAGCAACAAGAGCTGAGATATGCCTGCAAAGATTACTGCATCCTCCATGCCAGTGACAAGAATTCGAAAACCCTTCGGGAAGACCGCAAGCTTATGGTCAAGTGGTGCTACAATGTATTGGATTTCTTCAATCTTCATCGAGAGACTGGAGCCATCGCCATGGCATATGTGGACCGTTATCTTCAAACTCCATTCGGTCCAGAGTACCTGCAGGACACGGACAAGTACCAACTTCTTTGTATCACTTCCCTCTACTTGGCAATCAAGGTTCACGAATCACCGACATTGACACCTGGCGCATTTGTCGAGATTGGACGAGGACATTATTCAGCTGATCAAATAGTAGCACTGGAAAGCAAGATCCTGGAAGGCTTGCAGTGGCGAGTCAACCCACCGACAGCCCTCAGTTTTGTCCGGCATTTGTTGGACCTTGTTCCCTCCATGGCACACGACGACGGTATCAAAGCTACTGCCTATATGCTGGCCAGGGCGCAGACAGAACGAGCAATTGGTGAGCAAGGGTTGATGACTGTGGCTCCCTCCAAGATCGCTTTTGTGGCCGTGCGAAATGCGCTGGAAGCACTTGGCTACAGTGACTTTCCGCTGTATGACGCTTGTCAGCACTTCTACTCCAAGCCCTTTCTGTATCAGGAGGCGCATGATTTGCGGCCAATACTCTATACTGCCATCAACTGGGAGATTGCCAAGATGGATCTTGTCCCAAACGAACAGCGAACCTCCAACAACGGCAACAACAACAACCAGCCAGCCCCCAACAAGGCTTCTCGTGAAACGTTTCTAGAGAATACCACACCGCGTTCTGTGGCATCATCGTCGCTCATGGCCGGATCCTTCTGACTTTTCGGTGTCGCGGCCATTGTTTTATAATAGTCTAAAGCTAGTTAAAAGTACTTTCATACTGTCCACACATACATTGTGATTCAGGTGTTCTTGCGTGTCTCTTGGGTCTACATGTATGTATTGTTTGTTGGCTCCTCCTAGATCCTGTTGTCATATCTCCGAAAGCGGAGCTATCCAGAGCCCATTGGAACACACCACGGGTATTTGGGGGTAAGCTGTTCTCACGTGCTTCAGAGACTAGAATGATTCAATCGAATCCTTTCACGGCCGTGCAAAGGCAACCAATGCAGCAGCTGCTGCAGTTGCAATAGGTAAACAAGAGAGCTATCAATCACATAGTAGTACCTATTATCAGATGGTGGATTGGTGCAGGAGCTGATGTCTCCGCCCTGAGCGCATATGTTGCTCGAGCTGGACCTGGCTAGCTGGTTACTGGAGAACTCTCCTCGCTGTAACGATGTTTGAGCAGTTATAGGTCTAAGACGAGAAGGCAAGCAAAATTGAGCATCACCTCCAACACCAACGAGCCTACTGGCCTGGCAGCGGCACAGTCAAAAGGCATTACCTCTGCTTAAAAGTGTAGACTATATCGGGCCAGCAAAAACCAAATGGTTGCTTCGCATCACCCTGACAACCACCTACCCCAACAAGGTTTGGTATCTTCAGCCCCCTTCCAGTACAATATCAAAATGAGCTATTAATGGCCAGTTTGCTAGCTAGCTATATAGATTCAGCTGCCACGGGTTGTAGGGGCTCTCATTATAGATTGCAACACATCAACCCTCCAGTACAGGTAGCCGAGGATCTTGCTTGTATATCCCAGAAAAGACAATCCAAGCAAATCCTGGTTTTCTGTACTGGTGGGCACCATCCAATGATTCGATTTGTATTCTCTCCCAACCTACGACTTTTTCTTTTGTTGCGGCCGTCTCCATGTTTCCGGTGGTGCTTTGAAGGTTTGTTTTCGTTTTCGTCTGGCAAACATCTTGCGGAGCCATCGAAATCGCTTTTGGGTGTTCCGATACTTGTCGGTAATCTCTTCGACGCTCATTTCTTTCAAGACACGCTGTCGTTCATCTGCCGAGAGGTGAATAAAGGGATCGGAATCACTCTCCCACGAGTCGTCGTCTTCGTCCATGTCCCCCAATCGCAGGACTCGCAATTTGTTGGACGACGATGCCATGGAGCCGTCAGTACTACTACCACTACTAATTTCCGTCAACATGGGCTGTCTCTTTCGCGATCGCTGTCGTCGCTGTGGGAGTGGAACCAATCCCCACATGGCTGCCCCCAACAGTTTGAACTTGCGTCTCATGCTCTTGTACACATTCCGATATGCCTTGTTGCGTGTGTACACCCAAAAGGGGCTGTCGGGACCATCCTCTTCGGTCAATATGCAGAGATCATTGTCCAAGTAGACAATATGAACGGATACCTGCGGTTTGTTGTTGTTTGTAGAATGCTCCCCTCCCTGCTGTGGTTGCGGAGGGCATCGACCCATCAAGGACCATTGTGTCGCGAATGGTTGTAGAATCAGAGAGGATCGTGTCAAGCCATCCAGAGCGTAGTATTGTGTTCTTGTGAGGATCCCTCCAAGCATATAGGTGGTATCCTTGACATAGGCATCTTCGTCCTCGGCCAAATCTTCCAAGCGAAACGTCCGTTGCTTGGATTGCACAAATTCCTTGATCTTGTCCCAAAAGACAAAGGACCGTCGTTTGTTGTTGCGTGTTTCTTCTTCCTGGTTGTAATTGTTGGCAGTCGTCGAATTCCAGAGAAAGGTATAGCGTGCATTGTAGTAATAAGTCCCAGCGACACTTCCTTCTTCCATGAGCAAGGATGCGATCGTGGTCGGATATTGAGATCGATAAGCCAAGACCCAATCGTCTTGTCCATCCAACAAATTGGAATCCGTGGTAGTTCGAACGGGACTGGCTTGTACCAGTGCCAGCAGTTTTTCGACAATGTCTTGATTGCTGCTCGTCGGAGCATCGCTCCCTTCCAACAGGTCCCATAGCTCTTCCTTGTAGACCGTCATGGTTTCTTGGAGTAGATTGCGTTTGAGACGGTTGACATCATAGACCACTCCACCCTTGCCACCGATTCCTTCAATCTGTACTTTATCATCAGGTGGTGAAGTGCTAGTACTAGTAGTATCTTTTGGGGATGATGGGTCGGCACTTTCAGTCTCTTTCTCTTTGGTTGTACCGGTACCAGTAGGCTTCTCCTCCTCCTTCTCTTGGTCTTGTAGTTTTCCCTCTTGAAGGCGCGTCGAATACACCAAAAAATTCTTCCTTGGCAGTCTGCCCAACCATGTCTTTTCCAATGCTGGTGGTACTACATGTACTGGGATTGGCCTTGGAGAGCCGTGTCCGTTTTGGCGTATTACCTGACTTGCCGTAGAAGTCGCTGGCACAAAATACCCATGGACTTGCAGTTGCTGCAGAAGGAGAACTAGCAGTATACCAGACGTTCGGGCCATGCTGTTTGACACTCCCAGGGTTTATTTTGCTCCCTCTTTCTTCTTCTTCTCGCTCTTCTTTGCTTTTATTGTTGTCTCTCTTGTCGCCGACCGTTGGAGACTGTGGACAGGGTCGTTTTGCATTTATTTGACGTCAAAGATCCATTCGGGACTGCCGAGATCTTTCAGACCCGTTTACCTCGTAGGTCCAGACTAGATCTATGTACTGGTAGACGTCTAGCTAGCTGGACACAGTCGCTTGAAGGAACCAGCTCTTTGGAAGCAACTTTGCATTCCATACATCAACACCAACGAGAGGACTCTCAGAGGCCTGATGACGCCACAGCCCAGAGGCATCCCATGCATGTGCTTACTTGTGACTAGCTCAACCAGCCATTCCAGCCGCTTGTTGCTGCCAAACGATACCTCCCGAAACCGGTTCGGTACGGTACGTCTGACCTCTTCCCACAAAAACATCCATAGAATGCCGTTCAAAAGGCAGTATACGGTATAGTAAAGTACATGGGTTCTAGCTTAGTTCTTGTATTGATCATTCTATTCGATGGTTCCTGTTGTGTAGGATTGTGCTGCTTGCACGCATGGTCGGAATCGTGTTTGTTTGTTTTCTTTCATTCACTGTCTGACTTGAGGTGGCCGCTCTGTCGCATTGGTCTTCTCGGCTTCATTGTTACTATTAGTATTGCTGGCATCATCATATACCGAGGAGATGGCACTGTCAAAGTAGTCATCATCCGGAAACGGAGTGTCGTAGTAATAATCCATCCTTCTTCGAATACTGGAGAATGGTTCCATGGACGTGGTGAGTAAGGTTTGCAGTGGTGGTTTTCCAATCCCCCACCGTCCCTGAAAGACTGTATCTCGGAATCCTTTGGCGAGGAAAAGAAGTTTTTTCAATCCTCTCGGTTTGGGTCCAAACGACAAATCGTAGAGTGCCTTGCCTTCTGGGACTTGTCGTTTGGAATACGCTTCGAGCGCTGATTGGAGTGCCTGGTCATTTCGATTTTGACTACTACTAGTAGTGTAGTACTCCAAGAGACAATCACGGAGAGCCACGGCATCCAAGAGCGCACTGTTGACGCCCTGTCCGCTCACTCCTCCCGTGGCATGAGCGGCATCCCCCGCCAATGCCACAGACGACCGGTAATGATACGTGTTGCAGGTGACGGACGAAGCAGATCCCGGTTTTTGGGCGAGCAATTGATCGGCGACATGGTCCAAATCGGCACCCTCCAGCAGTGGAAAACTCGCCGCAATGGTTTCGGCCAATGCCCGTGTCTTGTTGTTACTACTGGTTTGTTCAGTGCTCGTACTGATAGTTGGACTGCTCAAAATGGCATCGCCTTCGCGTCCGGCAAACAAGATGCAACAGGATCCCTCGATGGTGGGTTCTAAAAATGCCGTGGTGGTTCCAGTTTTGGGAATGAGAAGTGCCACCGATGTGGGATCCAATTTGGGTGGAATGGATTCGAGTCGAGCCACTTTGAATTCTCCCGGCAAGGTTTGTTTGTCGGCCGTAAACGCAGTGTCAGTAGCTTTTTTCATGGCCGATCGTACAATGGAATTGACTCCATCACATCCCACGAGTAAATCGTAGGCTTGGACAATGGTGACATTTTTGTTTCGATCAATGGTGATGCGTTGTTTGGCCAAATCGCATTCGAGGATGCGAGACGAAAAGAACATTTGGAGTTGTGAAGAGGAAGAGTACCGTTGTTCCAATTCCTCCAATAGGGAACCACACAAATCGGTTTGAAAGAGCAACAGCGAAGGTTCTGGTTGCTGTTTTGGATTATTGTTGTTGCGTCGTCGACGAAAGAATGTTCGTTTCTTGTTGGTATTACCAGCTCTCAATTGGACACGAAAGGGTCCAATGTGCAATCGGAATCGATCGCATTCATTTCCCTTTTGCCGTACAGCTTGCCAGAGTGATTCATCCACGGCTCGAATGGCCGATCGTCCTCGAATGCCCAATCCCAAAGCATATGCAAATCCGGATTTCGAACTACTAGTACTAGCAGCAATACGCCGCGGATCGGCTCGACTTTCGTACAGGGCTACTCGAGCGCCTTTTTGGAGCAGCAAATGGGCCAACAACAGACCCGTAGGACCGGCACCGGCAATAGCCACTTGCATATTCTCCAGTGGACCTTGTTGCTGCTGCTTGTCCTCCGAGACAGCAGCGAGACTACTACCAGTAGAAACACGTGTAGAACCGACGGGTGACCTTGAGTTGGCGGAACAAGGAATGGTAGTGGGAAGCGGCACAAAACCAACGGCTTGTTGTGTGGACAGTAGTAGTAACTGCAGTAAACCAAGCGACAACGTCAAGAGCAGTCTTCGGCGGTCCTCAAGGACAATCATATTGAAAACCTATTGTGTTGAGCTGTTGAGCTCTGCTTAGGTTTGATTGATGTTTGTGCTTTCTCTTGATCTTTTGGGGGGAGAGGAACGAGGAAGTGAAAAGGCAAAAGCTGCCACTTGGTCGTTTTCAGAAAGATTTGTAGGAGGGTTAAGGCTAAAACGAATGTGATGCCAACACGTCACAACCACGAAGCCAACAGCCAATGATTCAATCACAATGATGCGAACCAGTTCAAAGATATTTCGCCAACAAACCAACTCACAGAAGATACATGTACCCAAAGAGGAGGAAAGAACCTCAGCATTGTGATCTCATCATCAGCAGTTGAGCAATCACTGCATTCATTTACGGAAACTGTGTTGGTTAGTTTATCATAGTTATTTTTCAGACTATCAAGATGGTTCGATCTGCCGTTGTCTTTCTGACGGCTCTGCTAGCTACCGCCAATGGCTTTGTGACATCCAATACCCAACAGGTCAATCATCACAAGATGGCACCAAAGCCAATGCTATCCAGCCCTTTCAACAGCAACAACCAGCTCATCAAGAAGACTGATCCATTCCAATCCACCACCACTTCCCTGGCGGCAGGACCAGAAGATATTATTGCCGATCCATCCATGTCTCAGTACTTGATCAAACTATTGCTGGAACAACTCATCATCAAGGGTGTACCTACCGTGTTTACCCTCTTGGTCATTGGATTTGCCGCATTTCAGTTTCGACCTCGCAAAGATCAGGACGATGAAGAGGTATTTGGACAAATGATGGCCGGGGAAAAAACCAAAAATCCAGCCGCCGAACTCTACAGTGACTTGTACGAAGGAGACGAAGACGAAAGCCGCAATGCCAACAAATCACCGTTTTCCTTTCTACGAAAACTCGGCGGCAATAAGGGTACACCGGCACAAACCAATCGAGGAATTCCCGCACTGCAGTACATTCAAATCACCAATCTCAATCAAAAATACGACAGTTACGATTATTCCCTCACGGCCGCTACACAATCCAAGGCCAAAGCAGCTGCAACCTTGCGAGCCAAAAACTTTGACCGGGCCTTGCGATTGGCCGTCACCGTGGGGGGTGATAATGATAAGTCTGATGAAACAGCAACAGCAGCAACAATTACCAAGCTATCTCCCTTTGCCAAGACCACCTTGTTGGAACTCGAAAAGGAATTCTTGAAAGAAGGAGTCCAACTTTTGAATGCCATTCAAACCTCACAAACCGATTTGGCCCGGGCGGCTATTGATGAAGAAATGCAAGCCATGGGAGTCGACGTGTACGAATTGGATCCCGATGAGAGTACGACTACTACGGGCGACAATACTACCACCACGGCGGAGAAGGATGCCAGTAATGCTACAACTACTGCCAAGACCAATGCAACCACCACCACTACTACAAGCAGCGTCCGTGTCCGGGACATGGGCAAGAAGAAAAAGCGCAGCAGTGACAGCAAGAGCAAGAGAGAAAGCCAAGCAAAAGCCATGACCAAGCTAGTCAGCACACAGGCAGAACTGGCCAAGCTGGAAACCAATTTCATCAAGGATGTCGTCGCGACGCTGGGATCCGAACGGGCCAGTGGACTTCGAACTGCCTTGTTGGGAGACATTGCGGCGCGTGGAGCTGGTGGACTCTTGACGCAGCTTCAGGATAGACCTCTGTCAAAGCTCCTCGTCGACGCAGCTTCTCCTTCGGATACGGATGACGGCCCCAAGTCGCTCTTTGTCACTAAATTCCCTGGTGATGTTCAAGCGTCCCAGGTGAACGAGTTGCGCGAAGAAGTCACAGCGATTGTACGCAATGCCAAACCAGGGGATGAAGCCCTTGTCATTTTACAGTCCGGGGGAGGAACCGTCACGGGTTATGGATTGGCGGCAGCACAGTTGATGCGATTCAAACAAGCCGGGATGAAACTTACCATTGCCGTGGAGCAAGTGGCAGCATCGGGCGGATACATGATGTGTTGTGTCGCCGATAGGATTATCAGTTCGCCCTTTGCCGTGTTGGGTAGTATTGGTGTCATTTCAGATATCCCGAATGTCTACGAACGGCTCAAGAAAGAGGGAATGTAAGTGAAACAAGTAGGCAGGATCATGAGTTTCCTGCAAATTTGATTGTTGGCTGTTTAAGAGCTCCAAGCTTGAGGCATGCATTGGCTCTTTACTCATCCAATTGAAACTTGTCTCCGCTTTATCCGTTTTTGCTTGTTCGTTCGCGCAGTGAGTTCCAAACGGTCACGGCAGGAAAGTACAAGCGTACCATTACACCTACCAAGAAGGTAACTCCCGAGGACTTCCGCAAGTCGCAACAGGACGTGGAGCAGATTCTGGTGCTATTCAAGCAATTTGTGCATCAGAATCGTCCCAGTTTGGATATCGAAAAGGTTGCTACCGGTGAAACTTGGTTTGGGGAGGATGCCCTCGAACTTGGGTTGACAGACGAGATCAAAACTGCCGATGAAGTGTTGACGGAATTTGTGGATGGTGGTTGGGACGTGTTTGAAGTGGAATACAAACCCCCTGATGAGGAGGCACTGGCGTTTGGTGGCCTTCCGCGCAGTAGTGACGGCAGCAACAGCAAGGGTGTGATTGGAGGCGCTGTGCGGTGGCTTGTGAGAACGTTGGTGGATGAGGTAAAGGCTGAACTTGGCGACATGGATCTGCAGCAGCAACAATCTCCCCAAAGGAAACACATGATGGTAGATGACAGCGCAGATCGTTTCCGGGCACAAGACAAATAAATAAGTGGAGAAGGACACTGTACAGGTAGGCTAACTAGCTAGCTAAGAACGATATGACATTGCTTCTCTCCAAGCTGCAATCACTGGATATGTGGCTGAAACAAACAAGAAAAACTACCGTACTACGTCGCTGGCTTGCTACCTCTCGATCTTCTCGAACTAGCAGCTGACGTGGTTTGTGACCTACCAAAGGCGGGCCCTTTGCCTGAGGACGAGGTAGATCCAGCAGAACGTTGCCGAGGCGGTAGTTTGTCGGATGTAGAGGATCGCTGAAAGCCCGGGGCCTTTTTCCCTTCATCGCCTCCCTCAGCAGACTTGGGAGCAGATTCGCTTTCAGACGATTTTGTCCTGCTGACCCGAGACTTACGCGAAACACGTTCTTTGGTTTTGCTGCTCTTGTCTTTCATTGCTGGTGCTGCTTCTCCTCCCGCCTGACTCCTTTACTGTCGTCACCATTGGCTTGCTGCTTTGATCTCGGTGAGGCATCCCCAGCATGCTCTTTCACCGATTCATCGTTGTTGCTTTCTTTTTGCCGACGGCTTCGGCGACTGCTCCTGCCTCCACTGGACGTAGCCCCGCTTTCGTGGTTATTTTTGCTGTGATCCTTCATGGGCGCTCCTTCTTCAATAACAACCTCGGTCTGACTATTGTTGTTGTTATCAGCACTTGTTTGCTGCCACTGCTGTGATGATGATCTCGTCGAGAGGAAGCCCTCCTACTACTGCTTGCTGCTTCTGCACGGGCTTTGGAGAATGGAACATCTTCGGTTTTGGTACGCCGAAGAGGACGTTTGGAGTTGGAAGATCTGGACGCTGGTTGGTTGTTGGACGACTGCGCCATGGTAGGGTCTTCTTGTTCTGCATCAGCGCCTGTTTTTCCATTATCACTTCGGACGAAACTCGTTTCATGGATGCCGGCAAGATATCGGTGGTTTGTCGTCTTGGAACAGAGTACTTCTTCGACTGTGTCGTAAACCTTTTTCATAGTGGGTCGTAAATGGGGATCCCAACATTCGGAAATGAGCCCCTGTACCGACTTGGGAATGATGGTATCCGTCAGTGGTGGTCGTTTTCCTTCCATGATTACCTGTTCAAAATGTGCCGATCGACTCATACCCTCAAACGGTCGTTGCAACGACAGCATCTCCCACAAGACAACACCAAAAGCGTACACGTCGGCTGCCACCGTGACGGCAGCTTGGCACAGAATTTCGGGTGCCGTGTATGCCAGAGTTCGAATGTCATCCGTCTTGGTCAAACTGGGCGCCTGATCCAGTTGTCCATTTTCTCTGGCTTGTCCGAAATCACACAGTTTGATACGTCCATAGCGCACATCGAATCCGACCTTGTCGGGACGCAAGTGAAAGACAATTTGTCGATCCGACAAGAAAAGCAATGCTGAACCGACATCCAATGCGACTTCCAAGCGTTGCATGAGTTTTTCGTATTGTTTCTCGGGTGGGTATTGTTGTTGTTGTGTTCTCCATTCATCTAGTCGTTGAATCATGGTCCCTTTGAGACGATCTAGGATAATGTAAAAACCTTCCTTCCCTTGACTCAAAAAGGCATCACTTCCAGCTGCAGTGACTCCGTAGATTTGACAAATGTTTGGATGAGGGGCCAAGTTCATCAGTATTTTGGTTTCCATCATCATATCGGAAGCAGCACTGGCAGCATGGACACTGTTGTAGATTCCTTTTTGCAGGAACTGATATTAAGAAAAGAAAACAGTACAAACGAACAAAAAGTGAGAGGGTTAATAAGGGCACAAAAAAGGGTATATACCCAAGATACCCCCTCTTGTTTCTCCCATTTAAAATCTCACCTTGACAGCATAATGACCATCAATGGATCGTTCTGCAAATCGTTCTCGAAACTCTTCTTCGTCTTCACTGAATTCTCCATGCAGCAAGTTGCGCGTCAGTTTGATGCCTCGCAGTTGGATATCCGTGAAAAACCCACACGATCGCAACGGTTCTCCTAGTATCAGTTCTTGCGGTTCAAACATGGGGATGGTGCATTCCTTGGCCGGATTTCGCAAGGCACAATTAGCATCAAATGCTCGTGCCACGGCAATGGCCGTCTTTAATGCCAAGGTCGCATTCTTGGTGGACACGGAATCGCCACGGTCCGATCCAGGAGGATTCCAATTGATTCTCGTGTAGTCGGCACTGCTGGCAGCACTACTGTTACCGGTACCATGGTGATTGTTGGTGGTACCACCAGCATGTTCTTCGCTCTCGCTCATGATAATTGTTGTGGTCGATGGCTTGACCAGAGGGAGAAATTGGATTTCCACCGCTTTCTTTGATGGGTGGGATTATGTGGTGATGGTGCTGGAGCGATGCTTGTGTTGGTCTTGCTTCCCATGATTGCTTTGGTGATGACTGGGAGTCTAACGGTCAAAGATACTGGGACAACTGTGCGCACTCTAGCCCTGGTCACGGTATATTTCCGCCAAACGCTTTTAGCTACTAGCTAGCTAGAGTGGCTTTCGCTATTTTTGTCCCTTCCAGAGGCTTGGCAAACAGACGGGCGCTAGGTATCGGGCCCCTGCAGCATGATCACTCTTTTGACTCTAGCGCGAGCAAACTCAAATTGCAGCACGAGTGGTAAACGATCGTACTTCATTCAGTTGATCTAACTAGTCTAGCTAGTAGCCAAGGACAGAAACGTGTAATCATCAAAACGGACTTGAACGTCCCTGCATTCTAGTAGCTCCTACACAGTACTGTATGTGGTTAGATGAATGAAAGCAATCCGTGGCAAAAGACAAAATTGACCTGCCCGTAGATTGTCAGCCACTCAATACTGATGCCGGGCTCGTTTGTTGGGCGATGAACCACCGCGAGGCAATACACGAGCATGACCAGTGTTTCGTAGATTGCTCGTCTGTCTTCGGTTGTAATCTTGATGCTGCTGCTGCTGTTGTTGTTGCTGTTGTTGATGCTGCTGCGGCTGTTGCAGATGTTGTTGATGGTGATGGAGAGGCTGTGGTTGATGATGAAGCTGTTGGGGTTCCTGGTCATCCGAGTCATACAGGGGCTCGTCATGTTCACGATGATACCCTCCGAATCGACGATAGCCGGCCATGGTAGGCACGACCGGTGGAAGTGGTGGCATCTGTTGTGGTGGTGGCTGCGGATGATGATGGTGGTGGTGCATGAGGTGATCATGCGGCACAATCTGCTCGACCGCCGTGCGTTGATGTTGTTGCGGATCGGGCGGTGCTACATGTACCATTGCTCCCGAAGTGCCTGGTTTTCGACGAACCTGTTTGGTAATTCCGGTGCGGTCTCGGAGCCGCTGCAGTTCCTTGCGACACATTTTGAGGTCCTTAGCGCGCTGTTGCCGTAGCATGCGAATGGTCGACTCGATAAGATCGGGACTCGTCACCAATTTTGCGACGTCCAACTTGGTCAGTGCTGCCCCCTTAGTCAAGTTCAACTCTTTCCCAGCATCTCGCGCTACGGATCGCACCATGACGGCAGCCTCGGTGCAAGCCTTACAGAGTTTGTGTCCCTTTTGCGTATCCACTTCGAACTTGCAGTCTTTGGAGCGAATGACATAATGGTACTTGCCCTTTTTTGGCGCGGAGTCCATGTTGTTGTTGTTGTTGTTGTCATCGTCCTCGGGAGCATTCTCACCATCCATGTTAGCAGCCCCGTCTATGTTGTTTGCGTCATCCTTGTTGCGATTTCGCTTGCGACTGTACGTTCTGACTAGTCTTTCTTCTTTGCGGACAAGGACATTTTCAAACCCGGTTCGATTGTGGTAGCAAGTTGGAAGAGGAAAAGTATCAGGGATGATTTCATCCTGCTCCACGGCCAATCGATTGGCTTGCTCGGATGCTTGTAGAATCAGACACCGAAATGCATCTCCCGACAATCCAAAGCAGGGTCGTGCCATGCGTTTGCGTTCGTATTCCAGCAAGGAGGGAGCCTTTTGTACAGTCCTATGCCCCTGGATGAAATCAAGGACTCGTCGTTTCTTGTGTCCAGCTCCCCGTCCCACTTCTTTGGTCGTATCAAAGAGCTGTTGACACGTGTACTGTTCCTCGGTGTTGATTGTCTCATTGGCTACAACTTCCTTGCGTCGCTCCTTGTAGAGCGGCCACAAGTCGACAATGTCGCGATGATGGGGTGGCAAGAATCGTTGTCGGAATTGATCGCAGGGTACGCAGATGATACCGGGTCGTAGAATGTAATCGAGACAAGTGGAGTGCTCGTCAACGTGGACCTCGCGTTGCTCATCCACGGGCCGCACAGCAATGGGCGGTTGCGATGAACGGCCTGTCGTGAGCATTTGTTGTAGTTGCGCCTTTTTCTTTTGCTGAATCGGATTTCCCGAAATGTACGCTTGTCGAAATGTGTTTTCACGTGTATCCTTGAGTTGCATATAGTATTTGAGCAATCCTTCTTCACGGTTGCGCACCATGTGTGTTTGCTTTTCTTTGGTATTTGACAACCAAAAGTTGACCACGGTGAGTCTATCCTGTATCGTTTTGGCGCTGAAGAGAAGACAATGTGGTATTTGTATTTTGGCTTTGGTCAATCGTTCTGATTTCCGATTGTACACCATGAATGTTTTGAGCAAGTACTTTCCATCCTTCCATTGTTCTGATTCCAAGTCTTGCAAGTCATCTGGTAGTTCATGTAGCAGATGGTGAATCCACCCCCTTCGGAGTCTCTGATGGTTGTTTTCTGTCAAGAATGGAATGTGCGATTGTTCAGAAATGAGAGGCAGCGGTCCTCCTCGGACCATGGTGCTTGGTGACGGTTGCGTTGTGTTATTGTTAGTGTCGTGAGTCACTGGTTGTGGCAATGGTGCCGTATCTGAAGCGCCAGTGGGTGGACGCTCGGTAATTGTTGCCTCTGGAGCTGCAGTTGTAGCCTCTCCTTCTGCTTCAGCTGTTACGGTTTCAGTGACTACTTCTGTCGATGCTGTATCTGCTGCAGTTGCTATCTCTGTTGTTTCCATTGCTTCTGTTGTGGATTGTCGCTTGTCAGCAGGGGCTTTAGTAGTCTGAGCAGCCGTTGCAATCTGCATGTCATTTGCAATGAAATCTTCCAAAGGCTCATGCTGAGGATCAGTGTCTTTCTTGGACACAGCATCGGTGATTTCGAAACTAGCAGCTCCCTCTTGGAGGTTCATCTGATGTTGTCGGTTCCTTGCGTGCGGTTCCTCAACCTTGTCATTGCCGTCCACTTGGTGGCCTTGCTTTGCTTCGGCAGCAATAAACGAGGGCTGCTGTTTGTCCTCTTCCGTCGTAGGCAATCTACTGGATTTCTCGTTCGTATCATCACCGTTGGGGCTCGCAATAGCGGTAGTCAAAGCTGTATCGGCTGCCTGTTGTTCCGTGGATGCATCATTGCGCAAAGCAGAAGCATGTTCCCTGGACGTGTGGACTGCAGTCGTAGGTTCGTTGTCCTGTGGCAGGGTCACAACGGGATCATTCGCATTGGCTGTCTCGTTGACAAGACAAGCAACATCCGCATCGCCGCCATTGTGGTGAATGGCTGTGTCATTGGTATGGTTGTGGTTGTTGTGAAGTGGAAGGGGAGTGTGATCGTCGTCCATCGTGTTTGCATTTGGTGTTAGAAGTCCGCACGAAGTTTGCCTGATTTGTCTGTCCGCTGGTTGGAGAAAGCAAAAACAGCAATAATATTGCATGAAATTAATGAAGGAAGCCCGCCCTAATGGTCTTGCTAGTTGCTGATCCTTGTAATGGGCCTGATACGGGGGACCTGGTTTTTGTCCTGGTGTTGGTCAAGCATGGGTCCATGCGTGGGACTAGCTAGCTTGGAGTGAGATCTTGAGATGGAAAAAGGATAAGTTGCCCCTGGAGTTGGTCCAGTGATGGGTCCAGAAGTTGGGTACTAGTAGACCACAGAATTTGGTCTCGGAGTGTGCCTGACATTTGTGTGGTTGTTGACCCTTGTGAGTGGCCAGATACAGTGGGGGCCTGCTTTAGTCCTGGTGTTGGTCAAGCATGGGTCCATGCGTGGGCCTAGCTAGCTTGGAGTGAGATCTTGAGATGCAACCAGGGATACCGTAGCGGTAGGTCCTGGAGTTAGTCCAGTGAGTGATGGGTTTAGTACAAAGCCCCGTACAAATCCCATCGCGCCTCCTTCCACCCCCTTGATGTTTCTGTGGATGGCATGTTTGCTCCCCAAGCCCATACTCTTTTACAATGCCTTGCTACTGCCAATACCAACAAAAACTCAATATTCGACACTCAACCGATGCTTTTCATCCAGACCTGCATGTTGTTGTTAAAAAGCCACTCATTTATGTCTCTATGGATCCTGCAAAGCCAAGCCCTCTTGCCCCCATGTTAGTTCTTAATTTATCTCTCCTGATCCCCTGGAACTGTCCCAGATTTTGCCTCTTCTTTGCGGCAGCCTGGCCCTCACAGCCTTCCATAAATAATTCCCTCTCATAACCCCCCTTCCAGCTCTTTGCGCGCCAAATTTAGGGAGGTGTTGACGGCGGAACTCGCGATTCGATTCGATTCGATTCGATTCATCATTCCTAATTAGAAAAAAGCTTCCGTAGCAGCTCCACATCATGAGCAACACGCACAGCGGCTCCTCACCAAAACCACCTGATTCGATTCGTCATCCACAACCGCAACCACCACCGTCTACCACCACTGCTTTGGTAGGGTACTTTACATCATCTATCTCGTTGACTACCGTCAATAGCATTGAGGTCCTATTGTTACTAAGGAATCAATCCATCCTCCAGCAATCGCAGCCATCCATTAGCGAGCTAGATAGCTGCTACTTAGCTAATATCATACAATGCCAGATCAGACCAATCACCATGGTGGAGGAGGAGGAGGATTCCGCATGGAAGTGAAGCAACAGCAGACGAATCGGAAACGCAAGCGTGCTCATGCGTCTGCCGCCTTGAGTGCCGATGAATTTGGAGGAGGAGGAGAAGAGAGAGCGGCGTCTCCTTCGAACAGCGAAGCTTCCACCGTCAAGACGAGCAACAAGGAAGCAAGACCCCTGCAAGGGCAACAACAACATACTACTACTACTACTGCTATCAGCAATAACAACCACCACCACAAGAGGGACAAGCCACATCAACAACAACAACCAGTCCAACAACCCGAAGGATGGAGAGTGAAATTGTATCGTTTGAATGCCGATGGCTCGTGGGATGATTGTGGCACGGGTCGAGTTGCGTGTCTCCGAAGACCAACACCGGTCAAACCCAACACCCCACCACCCATCTTGGAGAATACTACTACTGCCACGGCGAAAACGGAACAACAAACCAACGAACACACCGCCGCTCTGGATGCTTGGATTTGTCAAGAACTGGGAGAACCCACACTCTGTATGCACGCCGAAGTCGTCAACGATGTCACACCACCCAAAATACTACTGCGCACCAGAATCCTACTTAGGGATGCCTATCAACGACAGGGAGACAATATCATTACGTGGTGTGAACCATACTATGATCACAACCACAGCAATACGAATGCCAATCACCACAATGCGGCCCAAAAGAAACCTTCTGAAGCAGATGCGTCGTCGAAAAACAGCAACAGCAGTGGCGTCGACTTGGCATTGAGTTTTCAAGACAATGCGGGATGTCTCGATATTTGGAGACAAATCACTACTGTACAACGACACGCGGCCGAATTGTATCGACGACATCAACAACAACAGCAACAGCAACAACAACAATCACAAGATGGTGGTGAAGACGAACCCTTGCCGGCCAATGATGTCTTGTCGGTGCAACAAATGGCACAAAAAATTGCACAAGATCATCACGATGAATTGGAACGACAACAGAATCATGAAATGTGGGTCAGCATGACGGGAAGTCAACAACAACAGCAAGGTCAAGCGCAGCAACAACCATCGCAACATCCATTACCACAACAACAATCCGTACCACAGCCACATGGTTTTGACGATGAAAACAACAGCGGCAACAATACTATTGTCCATCATCATCACCATCATGGACGGGGCAATGCCATCAACAACAACAATACCAACAATGCGAATGCTGCCAACAACAACACTAAACAGCAACAACAACAACACATGGATCATCATCATGGACCGTTTGGAAATGGCGATGATGGTGGAGCCGATCTGTATGCGGGGGGATCACCCAATAATAATAACAACAACAACAATGAACCCATTCCAAATAATAATAATAATGTGGCATTGTCGCCGCAGTTGCCCAATCCACCCACACTGGCCAATTTGGAGGAAATTGCCGATACCATTGCCAGAGTACAGGTGAGTTTAAACTTACTTCCTTACTTTTCTATTATGATGTGCTTTTTCTGTGTGGAAATCTTCACGTGCAGTGACAGAACTTGACTCATCATATTTTTGCCTCTCTTTCGTCTGCTGTCTGCCACAAACAAATTATACATTCCATGCCGTACACGACAATGCCACAATGCCACAATCATCATTTCTATTCTCTGTTCTACTTACTAGCACATTCAACAACGAGAGTCACTCGCCATGTTTATTTCGCAAAACGAATGTGCCTATTTGAAATCATTACTCTCGCTGTTTCCTTCCGCGGAGGATCGGGGAGATTACGGATCTCTGGCAACCTTGGCGGCATGTGTAAAAACAATCCTCTTGCTCAACGATCCGTCCATTCTGGAACTCATTGTCGCAGAAGAAGTCATCTTTGAAGAAATTTGTGCCACGCTCGAGTATGATCCCGATTTGAGAGACAAAGCCAATCATCGATGGTTCTTGCGGGAACGGGCGCGATTCCGAACAGTCGTACTCATGGAAGACGCCGAACTCGTCGCCGCCATTCATCGCGCGTTTCGTGTCAATTACTTGAGGGATACATTGCTCCGACCGACCATGGATGAAAGCACTTTGTCCACCTTGTCATCCTTGCAGACATTTACACATGCCGATGTCGTCAAGGGAGTCACCATGTCTCCGCCACTGCCACAACTCATCAACAACAACAACAATACTGCGGACGGTCAGCAGCGACAACAACAGCATCATGATCACGAAAAGGATGTTTCGGCACAGGATAGTTACTTGGTGCGTGTCATTCGAGTTCTGGGAGTGGAACTGCACGCACTTTGTCACATGGAATGGACGGAATTGGAAAACAGACCGGCAAAAGCGGCAGGGCGTAACAATTTTTTGGATGCTGCCGATCAGATGCTGACGGATCCTTCCATTGTGGTATCGGGTGGGAAGTATCTGGAATCGCAAAAGGTCTCGGCGACATGGCGACAACATTTGGCCCCGCAGGATGGGTCATTGGTATCTCGAAGGATACGAAGGAGGGGATGTTTGACCTTTTTGCGGGAACTTTTCAACATGGTCCGTATTTCATTGCAACAAAGCGACAAGGACAACTTCTTTTCTGTGATTGTGTCCATGGAAATTGAGGTCATGAGCAGTGAAGATGCCGAAAAGGGTGGGAAAATATCCGACAATGAGTCTCAGACCAGCAAGATTGTGGAAGTTGGTTCTGTTGCGGCGAGCGAAAAATCGGAACGCTTCGACGAAAAGGGAGAAAGCAGCTCGCAACATCTGGGATTGGATTTCATGCCACTCGCAACACCCGTCAATCTTCTTTCTTTGCTTGGAACGGTATTGTCCGATCCAAACACGGACGTGACCGAGAAAGGCCTCGTCTTGGAGATCATTGCGGGGGTGGCAATGCACGACCCTGGCTTGATCCGGAGACATTGTCTAGAGTTTCATTCTTCGTGGAAAAGAAACCAGAATGCCCCACACCAGGACGTCGCAGGGCTAGGACGGCCAGAGGCCAATGAGAAGAAGCAAGTCATATTCCTTTGCCCTCCCAACGACTTGTTGGCGGCTCTGTTGTATTTGCTGGATGCTGAAATCGATGCTGGTATCCTGTTGCAAGTCTCCGAAATCATGCGCATCATTCTCGACACGGATATGATGGGGGAGCACGTGGGCGCTGGCTTTGGCGACGAGAACGGCGTTTTTGCCGATGAAGCGGAAGGCATCCCACCCGGCAATGGTGGCGGGGTCCAAGCGCAACCACACGAGCAACACAACCAAATGAACAATAACGGATCGGCTGCAACAACAACCGAACAGAAGCAATTCTTATCCATGTTCTATGAGCATTTCATTGATTGGGTCGTAGCTCCTTTCCAATTCACAATATTGCACCCACTTCGACGAGTCCCAGACACTGTTCTCATTTCTCAATCAGAGTCGCCCTTATTGATGCAGATGATGAAGGCATTCAAGGAGGGAGTCACACAAGATGACGGTTTGTTTCGAATCATACCGAGGTCTGCCATTCGGACTTCGTTTGCGGTCGAACTGTTGAGCTTTTGTGTTCGTGCCCATTTGTATCGAATGAAGATATTCCTGTTGAAGTCAAGAGTTCTTAGCAACGTGCTTAAGCTTTTGAAACCTCATTCACTTATGGACAGCACCTCGGGAGATCGATGTCTGAAACTGGCAGCCTTACGGTATGTGACGCTTGGCCCGTGATCGTGATGTAAGCTCGAACACACTGTCTGCGCCATGTCTTACACTCTTCAATGTTCCCTTTTCAGTTTTCTTCGTGCCATTCTGTCAGTGAACGACGAATTCTATCATCGTCACATCATCCATCACAACTTATTTGAACCTGTCTTTGAAGCCTTTCGCGCAAACCCGGTTGGCGACAATCTTGTCTCGTCAGCTATTGTGGAGATGTGCGATTTCATCCACAACGAGAACATCAATTCCCTTATGGAGTACATTGTGACAAAACATCTTTCAGTTGCTCGCAGCGAATCGGCAGGACCAAGTCTGGAGGATGTGTCTAGCCCGTATGTGAGCACGTTGACAAACTTGCGCGAGGCTTATGAAACTGCCAGGCAGCAGCAACAACAACAGGGGAAGAATGGTCCTTCATCAGAGTCTGAGAACCAGGGGGGAGATTCCCGATACTTTTCAGAGAAGACAGGCCCCCCGAGTCCACGGGTATTGAGTGGGAAGGCTCTTGAAGATCAGGTATGTTTACAATCCTCTTGAGTCTTGTCTCGTGTTGTTCTTCTTCACCATTTGCTTACCCCGGCTATGCCTTTGTTATGTTGAACAAACAAACATGTAGCGCAAGTTCCAAGAAGAGCACGCAGAAGAATCGTACTTTGACTCAGATGATGAGCAGCAGCCGCAGCCACCCAGCAACACGGTGGTTCCACCGGCAGTCGACGAAGTTGCGGCCCAAGAAGGGGATGCTGAGTTGCATAGGCCTTCGCGTATGTTCGCTCTGTCGCCAGCTCCCATCCTTAACCACGGGAATGCGCCTCTCGTCCAAGAAAACCAGCCGCCGCAACAAGAAACGCCCATCCAAGGAAACAACCCCACGACTGGACGCAATAGCGAGACACTTGATGGGAAGATAAGCTGATGGCACGAGGGTTTCTGCAATATGCTGTGACTGCCGAAGATGTCAGGACTTCTATATGCACTACTTCACAGGCACAAGTTGTTTGTAGTAGCTCTATAGTTTTTATGCGTTATATTGTTTGTATGAATGGCCTATTTGCAAGGGTCGAGTCACAACGATCGCCCGATGATGGATCTTGGGGTGTTCTCAAAAGTCTTGTGGCTGTGTGCTCCTTGCTTGGATGGTGGTGTCATTGGGCACGGTTGGGGAGCTGGAGACGCATCCATGAAAGCGGGTACACTGGTTTGCTTTGCGATAGCTTGGTGGAGTCGGGCTTGGACAGGAGCAAGGATTTGTTGGTCATAGAAGACGGCCTTATTCACAAGAGACAAGTTTGCCACTTTGGAAACAAAGCAATGCACTGTGAAACTTCCTGAGGCTGAATCTGACATGCCAAGGGCTTCAAAGGCGTTCAAAAGAGACGCGAAGGCGATCGTGGAAGCTCTGGCAGAAACCAAAGCACTGTCTCGAACAGCAAGTTCTGTCTGGACCTTGCAAAGAATGAAGGCAGTATCTTTCATAGCTTGACTCATCTTCAAAGAGGGCACTAGTTCCATGTAGCTTCTGACAAAGCCAAGCGATGTTGGTGGATGCAGTTTCCATTCCAAGCCTTCTAGAAGAATGCGTTCCATGCTTTCAAGGTCTTGGGATGTGAAGGTGTTTCGACTGATCTTCTCGAACTGACTTGTGGAAATAGCAACTGTCTCGTGGACCTTAATAGCAACGTAAAGGGCAGTTACCACCAAAAGCTGGAATCTGTCAGACTTTTGAAGGACCTCCTTCCCTTTTGCCGAAGCAGCGAATCGATCAACATACGACATGGCAATTTCCACAGTCTCTCGGTCCAAAGAGCAGAAGTCGATGATCTTGTTGGCCCAATCGCACAGAACATTGCGTGTCTGAGTCGTGACGGCCTCGTGGGGAGAGCAAGCTGCGGCGACACCTGATGGGCTCAATGGCGTACTTTGATGGTAGCAATTGCGGCAGAGGTAGGACTTTTCTTCCTGGATGCGCATTGCCCGAATGGTATCGACAATGTCGTCCTCGTTGTTGTTTCCAAAGCAAGCCATGATTATTAAATGTGGAAGAAAGGATTTGTGAACAGATGAATTCGTGATGAGCAAAGATGCCGAATGGATTGAAACCTATCCTGTCAAAGAAAATATGAGACGGGGAATGGGAAGACAAGATGTGAGCTTTCATTCATGCCGAGGCAATCTCACCTGTAGCAGCGAGCTACGGTAGGTGACCAGTGAGGTAGTTTAGCAAGTCTCATTCGATTACGAGCTTTGTAGACCTACGTACACTGCAGTAGGACAAATACCGGTATATCCAATCAATCGTTCCATCACGGTTGCCATTCTGTTCGGCAACTCTGTCTGGCCCGTCCGATTTTTTGTATGCGTTACAACTCGGTCCGGTAGTTTCTGCTAGGGGGTGGTACAAAAGCTACGGTGGTTCAGTCTTTCCTTTTGGAACAGACTGAATTTTCGAGGCGGTATCCTCGGTTGCCACTTTTGTGTGAGAGAGAGCCCAGGTAGGAGAGGCCATATACATGCCACCGCACTCTTTGGGTCCGGTTGAAGTAAGTCTTCCTGAAACCAGGCTTTCGAGAGAACGATGCGTTTAGTACAAAGTCCCACCAATGACACTTTGCGACAGGCAACGAACGCTCGTTTCCGAAGCAGATAAGTGTCAACGAAGGGCACAAATTGGGTAAATTGGGAAGGTTTCTAGCGGCTAGACAAAAAAGTATCCGGTGGAAGTCCTACCGTATAACATGACAGTGGCCGAAGTGTTTTAAAAAGATCAAAAGTTGTGCCTAACGCATGAAATCGGATCATTTTTCGATGTGTATTGTGGTGGGAGTCAACTCGGCATGCTGTCATTTGTTATTGCTTCAAGTACCGTACCAAAGACGGCAACCGTTCGAAAGTCTGAAAGATCCGTCAAAGTCCTTGTGATGAGAGTTTACCGGTACCGGGATGGTTGGACACATCAGAGCTGCACCAAACAAACTTACTATCATAGTACAATAGCTCTACAATTGCCCAAATCCACTGTGGATTGACTCTTGTACATTTGGTTCAGCAACTGATGATCCTTCCGCTCGAGCCAGCCACAGACGATTGATCTGCGATACAGGCAGCAAACGCCTCACCAAATATAGGCAATGATCTTAGGAGTGCAAGGGGTTCAGAACTCACACATCAGAAGTAGTCCACCCGGTTCACCTCTCGCTCAGCTGATGTCCTTTGGATTCGTGTGGCTTTTCGTGCACCTCCTCACATGAGGCTGGATTTGAATGTGCTGAAGGTGCCGCGGGAGTCAGTTTTCTGGCAACCGTACCGTACCACACGTCTCACGACCGCACCAATGTTCAAGGCTTGTTTTAGGGTTAGAGATACAAGAGAACTGCAAGGCCAGCTGTCACACCGCTGCGAGAAAGATCCACGAAACCCTCACAAGCGTGTCTTGTGGTGACAACCTCTACGTACGTGTACATGGCCAACCCCTTGGTCTTGTAGTTGTTGTTCGCAACCCACCTCAGTGGTTAAGCTGGTCAATAAGGCAGAAGAGAGTCGTACAGCACATCACAGATCTCCGAACACACTCTCCTGGGACGACCAAGCTCTGTCGTTGGGTGTTCGAGCCCGTTTCGAAAGTGTATTGGGGTATATCCGGGACTGCAACCATTTGGCTACAAGTTGGGAGATGATAGTTTGGACGACTATGCCCCTCCACTGGCACTGGAAAGGCGGGCTCTTTTCTCCGCAACTGATCAGGATGAGGTACCGGTAGTTACGGGTTCGCACTTGTGCCGAGGCAGAAAACGAACAGCCATCTTCGGTTGACAAGAAATTGCAAGACCTTTCCAAGAAGAAGCGTGGAAACAGGAGTATGGTGAATGTTCGCAAAAGATTCCTTACAAAGTTTTGCATCGAGTGGCAGGTCAAGCGCCATGCGTCAAAACCAGACCAGTGGGCAGCAGTTGAGGTGGCAATGCTCGCTGTCAGCCAGATATTAGTTGCATCTGTTCCCAACGACAGTGGTATCAAGGTTCCGTGACTTTTGTGTTCAATGATGTCGCGACAAAGAGTCTCCCAACCGTTGCCGGTTTGGTGGAATTGGTATGGGGATGAAGCTGACTCTTATCATCGCAACAATGTTCTAAAAGATGGGCGAAAGAAACACAACGAGTAAAAGGCAAAGCAGGACGTGCAATGAAAGCTCTATGAGGGCACCCTGGGTGATATAATGGAAGGTTTCTCTACTTTTCCGCTAATACGCTGGCACTGGGCAAAAGCTCTAACCTTGGCAATGACACCTATAGAATACGGTAGTGAATTGTATATCTGTATCACAGATTCCGAAGGTATTCTGCAACTTTTTGAGCAAACTTCTCCTTGTCACCCTCGGCTTCCGACAAATTGTGGTTTGCGTTCGGCAAGAAACACTCTACTGAAACTCCTTCTTCCTTCCCGCCGTTGATGGCCTTGCACAATCTTTCGGACATGCGTTTGCAATCCAACTGTTTGGGGACGTATTCATCGGCTCCAGAGAACGCCACCAAAACCTTGCGATCCGACACGTTCGACATGTGACCTAGTCGATCCACAAGCTCCTCGTCTGTCCAGTCCGAAGAGAAGAAGTCGTCGGCTCCTCCTTTTGCGTGAAGGCCCAGGTAACGCTGGGCTGTAATTGGTGCCCAAAATGCTGCTCTTGGCATCATTTCAAGTTCTTTGCCTTCCTCCTTCAGTTTGTTGGCGATCTCTAAGTAAGTGTCATATTTGGATGTTTCCCACACTGCTTCTTCCCGGTCGCTCACTGGAGCTTGCAGCGCAATGACCTGCAATAAAGTTGTGCGTCATGGAATGTTGAGAAACAACCTTAGATTCCAAAAGCAGACTATTTATTGACAAACTTCGATTGTACAATCTTCCACCGTACCTTTGTCTTTTGAACCATATCTGCTTGACCGTGCTGCAAACAAAAGAAACGATGGAGGTGGGTTCCATGTGCAAGTAGGAATATTTTGATCGCCATCGTCCGACATACCTTGGAAAAGTGGACTGCATTCTGGCATCCTGTAGAGTGTCCCACAAGAGCAAACGTTTCGGCAGATCGATGACACGTGAGGTACCACATCAATGCACTGGTGGGAGAAATAAGCAGAGAGGGATATGGGAATTAGAAATAGATCATGCCAACTGCAAAGCTACCGCCATGATGCCAACTTACCTGATTTCTTGGCTGTCACGTTCAAGATCGCCGTTTCCAAATCCCAAGTACGAAGATGATAGAATTGGCATTACAAAGCTCCATCCTAATTTGTGGCATTCCTTTTCTAGATCTTGGGTATATGGTGTTGGCATCAAGCCGTCACTGAGGCCACCCACCAGGATGCACTTTTTGCTGGGCAACGGTTCCGAACTGCCCGATGGTACCGATTCGAAAGCCGCCTTGTTGGCATCATAACAGAACAAAGAGCCCTGCAGCGTGCCATATGGCGAGATGGGAGGGACAGGTGGGGCGCCACCACTGCTTGGAACCACCATGCTGAGTTAGTACCTGGTACGTGTACTAACTGAGTTCTGTCTCAGCTAACAAGGTTGTCGATTGTCGATACAGCGCAATTGTCTGCCCGTAAGTTACTAGTAGCCTCAAGCTTGATGGCTGTATCCAGATCAAATGTGCTTCCTTCATACCGCTACATCCTTCATGACCTGACTGAAAATCTCATCCAAGCACCAGTAAAAAGTAAAAATGAAACCATACCAGTAAAAATCACAATGACCTTTAAAGGAATTAAAGACCTGCTGAAAGCATGTATCAATGAATATAACTTCAATGTCAATAAGCCCTTGCGAGCTCCCCCTCTATATTTGTGCCAGTGACATTAAATCTTATGTAATTGTTGGGAAGAATGCAGGACAGCATGAATTAATTGTGCCAGTGTGCCAGGTGCCAGGTTACAGTGAAAATAATAATAATGGTGCGGTACCAGCAGATAAAAAGATGCACCAGCCTTCTAGCTAGAGTTTGCATGCAATGTTGGAGAAGATGCCCTGGTTTCAGCCATGATTAAGGCCCAAAGTCTCGGGTCCTTATAACAGAATCAACTTCTCTTCCTTTTCATCGGACCGCTACAGCCGTAGAGCTGTAGCTAGTTTTGCTGTGTGCCTCACCGGTATGAACATCGAACATCACTTCTCCTTCGCGAAGCTTCGCCAGGTTATTGATGCGATTGATCCAGTGGTGCAGCGATCAAGACGGTTGATCTTGGTCCAAGGTCTTGGTTTGCTGCTCCGTCATTGTACAACCGATAAGATAGGAGGCATTCTGATGACTGACCCTACAGGTACATGTATATGTCAAACAGAACATGTAGGTGCTGGTTTATGTTAGGCCTGCTAGTGCCGTAGCCCTAGCTAGGTTTCGTGGCAGCAGTTTTGGTTGATCAGTGGGTTGTCGCTGGCTCCAGCCCGGTCTTTGGTGGTAACCTGTCTGAGTAGCCTCTCGGTGTTAAACGAGAGTTTGTGCTGGCTGGGGTTTGTAGTTGTCAGGTGCTTTGATGTGCTAGCTAGCTAGCTCGAGGATGCAATAGGTTTGTAGTCTTTGAAGATCCTTTAGTGTGACATTGGGAATTGTTTAGTTTAGTAGTTGCTTGTATTGCTCTTTGTCTTATGAATTAGATTTACAACAACAAGGTTGCTTGTTTTATTTGTATTCGTTGGTAGTAGTTTTGAATGATTAGTAGAGAATGATAATGGGATCAAGGAGAGATAATAGTATGAAAGTATTGCATCAAGACAAAACAGAACATGCATTGCCACTGCAGCTAGCTTCCTGTTTGAAATGATTAAGCTGCATGTGCAACATTTCGTTGAATGACAGATCGCGGAGAACGTCCCGCTGACATGCGCTTTCGAGGGACGTCTTCGTCCTCCTGCAAGGATTTGCCGATGGATCGAGAGCTGCTATCCATGTCGAGCACGACGGTGGAAGGATCTTGTTCTTCTCCGTCGTCTGCGGGGAGTGCTTCTCGCAGAGTCTTTTTCACCAAAGAGGCCTGCTTGAGGTCCAACTCCAGACTGCTGTCTTCTTGTTGTTGCCCCGAGACAAGAACCTCTTGCAGAAACGTTTGCAGATGGAATCCACGAATGCGTTCGTGTTCCAGAGCATTGGCCACGGCTGCCACGGCAACGATTGATTTCTTAATGGTGACCAACTCGTAGTCTCCGAGGGCAAACTCGGCTTGAAGACGGGCCGTTTCCACAATGGATTGTTGCAGCTCTTCCGTCATGTCCAACTGAGAAGAAGCAACAATGAGATCCACAATCTCGTGTACCAAGGAGGTGCCAGTGGGTGGATTGACGCGCCACTGCAAAGCTTCCAACATGATGCATTCCATGTTTTCAAACTGATCTTCCTGGTAGGATCCTTGACTCAGTTCGGCCAAGAGCTTGGGCGTCAGGGCTTCGGCACAGTTAATCTTGACGGCAGTGTACAAGGCCGTCATGGCAGCCAGCTGGAAAATGGTACGGCAATTCATGGCATCGTTGCCCGCGGGAGTTTGCAGGAAGCGATCCAGATAACTCATGGCAATCTCCACGGTTTCCGGTTCAAAGCCAATAAAGTTGACCACAGTTTGCATCCAAATCAGCATGGAAGATCGGCAGGCCACATTAATGCCATTTTGTTGGGGCCAGTTCAAGCGGTAGCGACTCTCCTCTTGTTGTTGGTAGAGATAATCGCCACACATGTAGTTCTTCTCCTGGCGTCTCATGGCTTGAAGGGTAGAAACATCCATCTTGATTTCTTGGTGTTGTTGTTCCTGGTTCATCATGGTTGTTTTTAATGGTGCAATAGAAGAGCTTTAGAATAGAATCTGTTCGACAAACTATTTTATGAGAAAGCTGGAAAGATATGCCGCCACCAAGGCCAATTTCGACAGCGGATTTTGTTGGTTGGAGAAACTGACTGAACTGGCGAATACCGTTTCCCACCACGAAAAAGCACGATGAAGCGGAATTAGGCAAATTCATCTGTGACCGCCTTAGAGTTACTGAGTATTAGAAGTACTGGGGAGATAAGGACAGACGCTGGCAGTCATTTCAGTCAAGGCATCTCAATTTTCGTCATCTGCAAAAGAAAATGGCGACTTAACAATCGATTTTTTAGTAGACATCACAAAGCGATTGTGGTCATTGACGCTCTTGTCTCGCTTTGTTTGTCGGCCTCTTCCCCTTGCCATTGACTGTAGTGTTGAGTGGTACCAGTAGACTATTCTACTAGCTACCGGTAGCTAGGACGTCGTCCCCAAGCGCTACATGCTGACAACGCAAAGCAATCTACGATTTGTGGTGGGCAACCTACCAATGCATGCTGCTCTCCATGGATCCAAGGTGGTGTTCATTGGAACTCCCGAGGCGGGATCATCTTCCTTGTGGACTGAATACTAGGTGGCCAGCCATTCTCTTGACTATCTGGGGGTGATGGCAGCATGAGAGGCTCATCAAAACCTAAGCGTGTGAAAACTTGGCTGCTTACAGCCAGCAGCCAGCAGCCACTTGTCGCCAATAGCCAAAAGCCAACATCCGAGGGTTAGGCTCTTCTCTGCTTGCCGCTTGGTAGCAAGTGGGTTCTTCTCTACTAGGCTTCTTGGTGATATTCTCTAAGCCGCCCCTCTACGAGTTGCCACCACGGTTCACACAAACAAATCTGTCGAAGGTGTTGCTTTGGTTGCTAGCAAGCAAATGCATCTTGCATTGACCCTTGATTGAATGCTTCAGAGGCACTATAGGAGTAGCTTCGAGTAACAGTTAGTGACTAGCTAGCCAGCCATACCGGTACCACTAGCTAGTACGCAACGTTACCGCCGGATAGCTAGCTAGCGCAGGGCCCAATCCAACTGCAACCTCTTGTTTGCTTGGCTGCTTGCTTCAACTGACTAGCTGGTACCTTTATGTCCACTACTGCTGCATCCTCTCCTTGTACGAGCGATGCTTCTCACCCAGTAACAGAGCGACTTGCCTTATCCAGCCAGGTTGCACCTCTACTGTAAAGTACCCTTGGGCAATTACCATTGTTGCCCCCTTCGTTGCATAAGAACTCTGCTGCTGCTACAACTTCCCCTCGGCATCTACTAGCTAGACCCATTTCCCCCCTTTCGGTGCAACTGCTGTAATTTCACGAATTGTTTCGTGAAAGTGACTTGATATCCGTGAAACCAACGGTAATTTTCCAATGAAACTAATTCGATTTTGGTGAAACTAACATTTTCGTACAAGCCTCCTACGTGTATTGCAATTTTGCAAAGAGTGGCTGGATTTAAAAGTAAATTTTACTGAAAAAACAACCAAATCGCCAAAACACAGCCTCCTGGTTGGTCACCATGCAGGCAGCAGAACCCCTAACGAAAACCAGTAGGACCCACCACACCCATGCCATCCTTTGGCAGTACTCGCTGTTTGATGAGTTCCACATGTCGTAGATCCTTCTTCATGGCTGTGTTGAGTTTCTGGAGTTGCTCTGCGTGATGGGTGAAAATCTGTGAGAGTCGTTCCCGATCAGGAATCTCCACCTTGACATTGGCATCGACGAGACTGGGTGGCGGTTTTTGCGCCTGCATGTGCAAATCACCCAGTTGTCGTTGCACATCTCTCACTTTCATATTGACTTGACGTAATTGCCCCATCAAATTGACTTCATCCTGTTGGAGTGGTTGGTTCATGCATCGAACCATTTCCACCTTTCGCATAATATTCAAGAGACGTTTGCGATGATTGTCATGAGCCCGTTTGATTTCTTCCAGCTTTCGGTATGCTTGATGGTACAGTTCCCTTGACATTTCATGACTAGACTGGATTGTTTCGGCATTCTTGGTCAACTCATTGGCTCGTTCTTGTTGCCATGACAATCGTGCACCCAATGATTCTGCTCCGATCAAGGCAATGGGCATGTAGTTCCTTGGATCGGGATTTTCCACCACGGCCTTGTACCAATCTGCTTCTGAGACTTGTGGTGGTTTGGGTGGCGCAACGGGCAAGATTTCCCCACCAGCGCTGGTACCATAAAGCCACTATTACAAGAGATATGAGAAAAGCAAAATGTCAGCGACGTGCATCCATTTTGATGCTGTACTATAGCAATAGCGATGAGAGTTTTACTTACCTGTTGTTGACGTTGATTTTGGTCGAGGTCATTGTACACAATGGAGACAAAATTCTTTTTGGCATCCGAGGGAGTACTGGGGGTGACTTCTGCTGTGTAGATTGCATACAATTTTGACAATTCTGCCTTTATTTTTTGTGTTTCGGCAGCATTCATAGCTTCCATGTGTGCCTGAAGAGCCGCCTGTGCGGGGACTTGTGGCTGTTGTGGTTGCTGCAGTTGTTGTTGTTGTTGTTGCGCGGTGGCTCCAAATCCGCCAAAGGCAGAGGGAGCCGGGGATCCAAAGATGGAACCTCCCATGGAATTTCCAAAGAGTGATCCACCGGGAGCTGGTGCTGGCGCTCCAAAGATGCTTCCACCAGGAGGTGGCGCCGGGGCACCAAAGAGACTGCCACCCGTAGTGGACGACGTTCCTCCAAAGCCAAATGCCGATGCAGTTCCAGGAGCGGGTGCCCCAAACATTCCACCTGGAGCCGGCGTTGGGGATCCAAAAGCCGATGGAGCCGGAGTAGTAGCCGATCCTCCTAAGCTGAATGCTCCAGGGGTCGGAGCTGGAGTGCCAGCAGTAGCTCCTCCAAAATTGAATCCGCTTGCCGGAGGAGCGGCTGGGGCCCCAAAAGCAGGAGCAGCGGCTCTAGGCACCGGAGCAGGGGTGGATCCACCGAGGATTGTAGTTGGGCCAAAGGACACGCCAGTCATGGTGATGGATTTTGTGGTTCTACTAGGCTATGATAGCGTCGAGGACGGTTGCTGTCAAATCAACTCAGGCAAGAGAGTTGGACGGCGATCGGCTTGTTGACCTCCAATGGGAGCAGCAAAGCGCTGCCGCGAAACACGCTAGACGCACAGTGATTCGATTCGTTTAATTGAAGCGGTGTTTACATGGTCGCACAGCTTCCTAAATATGCCGAACCGTGCGCCAATTGAAAAAGCTGTCTCGACCGCACGTTTCTTCCACGTAGAGCTGATGGAAAGGTAGGTTGCTGCCAAAGATCAATCAATCTCATCAGTTATAACTGAGAACTGCAGGTATCTGTGGTTCATTTTGTGTGCATTACTAGCGAGCTACTACTAGAAAAGAGAAAGAAAGATGCCGACGTTGGCTGTGGAAAAGGATATCTTTTTTGCCCATTTGGGTAGAACGTACACGGAGGAAGCGTTCGATGAGCTGTGTTTCGAATTTGGAGTGGAATTGGATGAGGTTACCAGCGAACGAGAAGAAGCACAAAAGTCTGCCACCGTCAAGTTGACCAAGGATCAGATTGCCAGCTTGAGTGACAAGGAAATCTACAAGATTGATGTCCCCGCCAATCGCTATGACTTGTTGTGTGTGGAGGGTATGAGCCGTGCGCTCAAGATTTTCTTGGGGGACATGGAAGCTCCCGTGTATCAAATTGTGGGAGAACCCAGCGAAGCCACTGCCATGACAGTCATGAAGACCAACACGGACAAGATTCGTCCCTTTGTGGTTTGTGCCATTCTGAGGGATGTCACCTTTGACAAGGAGCGGTACGATTCCTTCATGGACTTGCAAGATCAATTGCATCGCAATCTTTGTCGACAACGGACTCTGGTCGCCATTGGAACGCACGATTTGGATTCCATCAAGCCACCCTTCAAGTACGATGCCAGAGATCCCACACAAATTTCCTTTGTCCCCTTGACACCCGATGACCAAACTTTCACCGCCAAGGATCTCATGACACACTACGAGACTGTGCCAACCTGCAAACACTTGAAACCATACGTTCCCATTATCAAGGATTCACCCGTCTACCCTGTCATTATGGATTCCGAAGAGACCGTCATGTCGTTGCCACCCATTATCAATGGTTCCAAATCCAAAATTACCTTGGATACCAAAAATGTCTTTATCGAGTGCACTGCCACTGACATTACCAAGGCAAACATTGTCCTCGATACCGTCGTGACCATGTTCAGTGAGTACTGTGCCAAACCTTTCACGGTCGAACCTGTCACGGTCAACTATCAGGACGAATCGGGAGCTATTGTGGACTCCCATGTCACGCCACTTCTCTACACGCGTCAAGAACAGGCCAAGGTAGATTTCTGCAATTCCCTGATTGGCATTAGCATTACTGCGGAAGAAATGAAAAACCTGTGCAACAAGGTTCAACTAGGACCCGCCAAGTTGTTGGACAATGATACTACTTTGGAAGTCACTGTACCTCCCACACGCAGTGATATCCTGCATCCCGTCGATATTGCCGAAGATATTGGAATTGCCTTTGGCTACAACAACATTGTCAAGAAGGTTCCCGCCACCTGCACGGTCGGCGGAGAATTCCCTCTCAATCTGTTGGGGGATTTGTTGCGAGACGAAATTGGACGTGCTGGATACACGGAAGTTTTGACACATGGTTTGTGCAGCACTCATGATAACTTTACGGCTCTTCGAAGACCCGTCACTGCCGCTGTCAGTTTGTCCAATCCGGCCAACAAGGATTACCAAGTGGTTCGAACAACGCTCCTGCCGGGACTCCTCATGACGGTGCAACACAACAAGAGCGCCAGTTTCACTGCCGGATTTAAATTGTTTGAAATCAGTGATGTGGTCTTGCCGGATAGTGAGCATGTCATCACGGAGACCATTGTCGGTGCCAAGAATGCGCGCCGCGTCTGTGCCGTTTATGCCGGACCGACATCAGGATTCGAAATCATTCATGGATTGGTGGATCGGATCATGACCTTGAGTGAAGTTGCACCGGAACCAGCGTACTGTGCCAGTGCCAAGAAGGATGAAGGCAAGCACCGGGTCAGTCGAGAGGGTTGGCTCTATACCATTGCGCCACTGGAGGAAGGTGATCCCGAAGCAGGAACCTATTTCCCGGGACGTGCGGCTGCCATCTTGTTGACCACTCCAGAAAAGAAGCAAACTCGCATTGGGACCTTTGGAATCTTGCACCCAGAGGTCTTGAACAACTTTGATATTCAGTATCCTTCGTCGTGTGTGGAATTGGACTTGGAAGCTTTGCTGTAAGAACGTGTGTAGACGCATCAAGGTGTCCTCTGTACCTGCAGGAACTACCACCACCAAGTAAAGGGAAGCTCTTTTATTTAATACGAACTGGATTGATCATTCATCGTCGTACCGGTAGCTCTGACTAGCTAGTAGGGACAAGTTCCAAGCTGTATCGTTATCGTTCCATCGATATTGGCTAATTCGCTTTACAGTGTTTAGATCTTCTATTCAAGGTGCAGTCTCTAGTGGTAAGTACATACAAAAGGCACTATTTCCGCTCCGTCCTTTTCTGAATTGCGGGAAACAAAACCAAGTGGCAACAACAACAGCAAGAGTGGTTGACAGAAGCCCGAAGACCCCGAGGCCAGTGTCAATGAAGATTCCAGTAATTTGTGCTTTGAATGATGCAGTCCATTGCAATGAAGGAAACTTGCTTTTTACAGGACCATTGCGGCTGCTGTTGCTGCAAGAAGAGCGGTAGTCCCTGCTGCGCTGCTGGTGACGGCAGCACTGGCCGCCCCCTCTTGTTGAAGTTCCGTTGCTCTTGCAATAATGGTGCCACCATCGCCACCCAAGAACGGCACAAAGCGTTCAAATTTTGAAACGTCCACTTTGAAACAACCGTTTGTCGAGACACTTCCACCATTGCAACTGATGACAACGCCACTGCCGCCTTCGCACGGAGTGCACATACAGTTGGAAGTTGTTTCATCGGGGTTTCCCAAAGTGGCCTCGCACTCTTCAATACCAGCTTCCACTTTTGACGCAACATGCAAGCGAACAGTAGCCGAGGTGCCAGCAGCAACATCTGCACCGTATGTAACATCATAAAAGATTGTCTCTTCTCCAGAATCACTAAAGTCGATTGTCATGCCGAGATCAGCACAATCGGTCCCTTCGCAAATGTCCTCAAAGTCGCAAACAATCGTTCGGCCAGCGCACTTGCAAGCCTCTTCGCCATCTGTGATCATAGGGACAACGATGTCATATGCTGCGCAAAGGTTAACTCCTGAACTAGAGGCCGCAGTAACAGAAGAAACGCTTGAAAGGAGGACGGCGGCAGTTGGCAGGAACAGTCGGGTAATCATCGTTGCGTGTTGTTGGTATGGGAGGTGCACAGAATGGGAATTTTTATGGATCGAATCGAAACTAAGCAGAGCAATTGACTATGTATGAGGGATGGACCAGGCCTTGCTTCCAGTATTTCATAATTTGGAGATGTTTACCATTTCTAGCTAGCACATGATGAAGACAAAAAAGGCGTTGGCTTCATTTTTTCAAATGCAGCCAAGCATCTTTTTTCTGGATTCAAACCGCGGGGACGGCGCGATTGGTCCAAGTAAGTTGGATCTTTTTTGGCAGTCCCTACTCTAATTTTGGCAGTCACACTTCCGATGCTTTGACCGCCGAAACTCCCACGGTTGAAGATCGTTCTCGGGGGTTTAGAAGCTTCTTCTTAGTCCTTTGAAGGGGGAGAACATCGTAACATTGTAACAACGTAGCGGCCCTAATAAAGCAACTAATACTGCTGGAGATCCATTACTATGCTAGCGCACCATGAATACAGTGTAGCTAGCTTGAGGCTTGCACAATGTCTAGCTTACCTACCTGGCTTGCATCATAAGCACTGCTTTCTCAGGGGTGTTTACGAGCGGCATGTCCCGGTTAACCGGTTGCGCTCCCGGAGGTTTGATGGGTACTAGCTAGTAGTTTCTTCCTTCCCCTTAGGATGTCTCTACTGCAGCCACCTTTGCTTTGGTGAAACGGGTATGGTATCATCCTCTGGGTTTGCTTTCCTCCAACAGGAGTTTCTAGTGGGATAACAAACAAGCATCCCGACAGCCTTTTCCGTTCAAGACGATGAACCAGCAATCCGGAACGGTAATGTATCTGTTACATGATACTATTACTGGTTCATCTCTAATGGAACAAGCAATCACAAGATGGATTACCGTTCCCCATGCCAACCGTCCCGAATCTCAAGAGAGGATTGAATCATTCCAAGGCTACTGTACTGTACCGGTACAGTCGTACCTGGTAGATCTAGTTGCTTCTGAACATTTGGATATGATCCTCGCTTTTTCACACACAACATCTATCCGTTACGATTGTTGCTATGGTTACATTCATGTGTTCCCGATGGTTTCATTGCTCTATGCAGTTCGGAAGGTTGGTGGTATGTTGTTGATTTGGGCCCAAGTGATCCAACCAGCATCCTCGACCCGCAACACACATGTCTAGGCATAATTCTTTGTCGGAATGTCCTTGGCTTTGAATGGTTTTGAAGTCGCTTTCTGCCTAAGTCCAAACAAGCTTCGGTTAAACAACTTTAAAGGCAATTGGTCAGTAAGTAAACTTTTATACGTGAGAGCTTTCATTTAGCCAATTGATGCCAAAACGGTGAAATCCGGAAGCACTTCTTCTCCGAGCCGAAGGTCTGACGCCTCACTCATCCATTCATTCGACCATGGCGTTCTGGTTCTAGTTGATTATAGTGCGCTCTTTCCTCACATTCACTACTGTACCTCTCCGCTTCTTCTTGCTTGCCATCAATGCAGCACTATGAACAATATCCTTGTCTGGCGTACAGGTAGCCCATCTAGGAGGAGGAACTCACTCTATTTGTGTTTGGTGATTTTGGTCGGACCGTTTGGAAGGCTCGAGCCGTCGTTGGCCGAAAAACACAGCCTAGTTCATTTGCGAAGGCGACGGACAACCGAAGACTACAACAATCCATACTGGGACATACCATGGCGATCCAGTGGCGGTTCTTCGGGAGTCGGAAACAAACAACCACCACAAGCACCAGAAGAACCACCAGCAGGCACCAACTTTCCATATTCCAACTGGGCTTCGGTCAGCGTCAGCACTCCAGGAGATGATGAGGAGGAGGACGACGGAGATTCTCCAAGAGATAGCGATGCAGATCCCAGCCGTCCCTTTCCAGTCTCTCACTGGGCGTCGGTTCAGGTCATCTCCGAGAAGAATGTGTCTTCCACTACAAGCGGCATCACCAATACCACTGTTGTTGGCAATGAAGACTACAATTTACATGCCAGCAATCGACCACAAGACCTATTTGTGGACCAATGTCTGACGCTACTGGAAGGCTATTCCTTGGATGGTCAAATGGACCGAACCTCCTACGTGCAATTCTTGATGACACTCTCGCATAACAGTTTGCATGCCAAAAACTTTCAGGACCTGCCTCTCTTTCTATCCATGATCTTTTTCAGTGCCAGTTGTACCTCTGGAGAAGACTGTGTTACGCAGGAACCCGCCATTCTCGTTCACCCAAGAGGTTCCCCTGAAAATCAGCTCAACGATTTGCTCTGCTTGCAGCTCATGCGGTTTCCGTTTCTGGAAATCGCCTTGCCATTTCAATTCTTGATCCGAGTGGCAAATGGTGTATCGGCCTCGGAAGTACTATCAGTCAACGAAACCAACCAGATTGTTACCACGTTGGAGTTGGCATTGGACCAAGTTCTATTGCAAGGATTCAATTGTTCCTTTTCGGAAGATCAGCCGCCTCGTCGGGTAAAACCGGATCCAAAAAGACGACAACCACAACCTCACAATGCTTGTGACTATGCGGTAGAGGTGGCTGTAGAAGATGCAGCGGACTATCGTGAGTGCTGTAAAGGTTTCAGGATTGTCTTTTGTGATTAGTTCAGCTCACCACTTACTTGCACTGACAATCGTCTGTTCTTTCTGTCTGTAGCTTGCGGCTTTACCAGCAATTGCATACTGATCTTCTCCGATGTCAGTGTCTATGCAGTTCTGAGTGAATCCCTCGATGAACCCAAACTTCGTAGCTTGACTACCGATGTCCTACGTGATGCCATCAATGGCGATGCGCTCGGTCAATATCTGGCATGAGTATGGATTGTGGAATGGAATGTGGCTGCAAGCTCGGGAAAGTTTGACAACCAGAATCCATCGGGAGATGCAAGGCACCAAAGAATGAATGGGCCTTGGGAAGACGAGTTGGCCCATGTGACGCTCTCCAAACGAATAGTGATCAATCCGTCTTTTGCCAAGTACCGGTATGGTACTGCGGGTACTGCGAATCACTCAATCACCGTGAGTATGGAAAGATCTGGCCAAAACGGTGTCTTGCCATGACCAATGGATACCGCGACAGAGGGCGCAGAGCTTCCCAGCAGAGCGATCTCAGAGTGATACGAAAAAAAGGTTCCAAATCCTCTGGTCGAGTAGCCAGAGTTGATATTTGTGGGAGAAACAAAACGAGGGAAACTACCATGTAAGATGCAGGGAGAGTGACGGCTTCAAAAGGCCGATTATAGAGATGCAACTGCCAGATGAGTTCGTACCCTAAACTGTACTAGTACCGGTAGACCGAAGATTCCATGCCCTACTTGTATCGGAAGCTGGCTAAAACCCCATAGCTCTCAGAAGAAAATTAGTAACATACAGTCGTACGAGACGTTCACGATACTTGAACGTGAAATAAATGTACTTTAGGTAAAAAAAGATGTATGTCGTACGACATATTATACCAATTACCGTCTTGGTAGATGGAGTGCGATTTTGTGAGATTATTCCTGTCTGTGTGCAAGTGAGTGTAGATGCTGTACCACCCATGAGATCCATTTTCTCTGAGCGTCTTTTTCCTCTAGTAGTAGATGTGCCGGTCGTAAATAAACCTAAGAAGAAGCATCCTTTTCCTTTGCTTCGTCCAATTTCATCCTATTTTTCATGTCCGCAATCAGGTCATCATCGGCACCACCTTTTCCAGCACCCGCATCAAGGTCATCACCACTATCAAAATCTAGTTCATCATCGTGTAAGCTAGCACCCAAATCTTTCCTTAAGTAGTCTCGATCCGCCTTGCAATCACCCGAGGCATCGCAAAAGGAGAAATCTGATCCATCGTCCGAGTCGCTCTCTTGTGCGGTGTCTTCCGTGGCCAGAGACTCGGCCGCCCCTGGTGGTGCCGGTGGAGCTCCTGGACCTGGCGCTGTCAACAAGGGTGCCGGTCCCGTTTGAGAAGCGGAAAAGGGCCGATTCAAGAGTTGATGAGTACTGCCACTTCGCAGTAGATCATCGTGTCGGTTTGTAATAAGCCTTCGTGTCGAATACGCCTTTCGGATGTCACGAGAGTGAGTGGACTCGTGAAAGTCAATATCCAAAGATCCCAAGGTTTTTGGCGCGGCGGGCTTGGCTGCTGCTGCCTCTTCAGAGCTCATGCTGCTGTTGTTGTGATTCTTGTTATAACCAGACGGGAGACACTAGCCGATTTCGTGTAGATGGCTTGTTGTTAGCTGAAGGCTTCAGGTGAGCACCAACCAGCAGGATCGACAAACTTTTTGGTGACCGGACGAACGGCGAAGAGAGGAGTTGATGTAACCAACGGTCTTCCAACTAAAGATCTGCTCTGGCAAGATACTCTTGCTGCTGCTGAAGTCAACAACGCAAACGACAAACTGAAGAGCACAAATGCCAAAAGAGGACGATGATGATGCCGTTGCTGCAGTGCTGGTGACTCTTCAGCGTTAGAGCGTGTTGAGATGCTTTCCGCTGTTCAGCGCGACAGTTGTTTGGATCACTCCGCCTGGTTCGTTCGTTGTGCGCTGTTGCGTGTGTGCTGTGCTGTGCGCTGTGCGGTGGGACCAACTGACCAAGGTAGCGGCTGGCTTGGGTCACAGTCATCCCAGATATTGTCGCTCAGGGGTGGCAGATGGAGACCCACATTTGCTCCATAAACTCTGTTGACAAGTTCAGTCGACCCAGCCTTGTGCGTCGGAGTGGATTCGATTCGATTCGATTCTAGCTAGTAGAGGTCTGAGGACCGCAGGCAGGAAAATGCCAGCAATGGGCCCAAATCTTGCAGGCCTTGGCTCAAGAAGGTACTTTTACCGTACCAGCCAAAGGGTCCACAACCTTTGTAAAGCAGGCAGTCATCCAGAAGCTGGTGTTCTGATTTCCAAAACATAAAACCTTTGAGGGAATTTGGCTTCTGGCTGCCAAACTATTATGTATCCATGTGCCAAGGCTGTTGGACTTGCTAGCTAGTTTTGCCCCGGTCTCGTTCAGCCACTGTCTGGAATCGGGATTCTATACAGGAACACGTCTCCCCTGATTTAGAGGCGAGATGACACTTAGAGCGAGACTGGCCGGGCGAGAGCGAAAAGGAGAGCCAACGGCTCGGAACGCGCGAGACCGGTCAGGCGAGATCTAAGTGACAGCGAGACTCAATCAGTGGAGATGTGTTAATGTTGGAACCCGATGAGAAGCGCTCCTAAGTAACAAATGTGACGGTTAAAATATCAAGTCCAGACTGAGTGAGTTCGCGTCGGGACTTTTCCTCCAAACTTCAACTTCACGTAGACTCACTACTAGAGGCTACACAAACTGCACCAATTTCTTCGAGACGGGTTCCATCTGTGCACATGTAAACACTAAACACTAACTTACATGTCGCTGCCTCAATTTTTGAATTACACAGCTCCCAGTTGCCTTCCTTTTCCCTCCTTTGAAAGCTCTTTCCACTCAGCGGGCTTCTTATGGATCCAAAAGATTCGATGTTCTTGTTTCCAACTTCTTCGAGGAATCTTTGATGAAAGCAAAAAGGACGAAAGCCAAGACAATGGCACAGTTTCATGTACAGTACCGTACAGGTGCAGACACACCCCTCCTCCTGCTATAGTTGTTACTATTAATAGCTGGCTAGCAAGTTGGTTTCCATCCGATAGATTCGATTTTGCCACCACCTGCCTCTGGTTCTCTTGCGTTTTATTGTTCTGTTCATGTCTTTCCAGGATTTCGGAGGCGAAGCCTGGTTACAAGTGGCCTTGCCAGACTTTGGGTCAGAAATTCAAACGGTAACCTTGCTTTTGATTGGAAACACGATATTTTGGGTCTTTTTCCTTCCAGTATTGACGGGTATTTTGGACTACGAGGAGGAAGAAGCCAATAATGACAAGCTAAAGGATGGACAAGGTACTACTAGTAGTACCAACGGGAAACAGCAAGAAAAAAAGGCAAAGACTCGTACTCGTCGGCCTTCACGGGATAAAGCCGCCAACGGAGCAGCGAAGATTTCTACCACCACTGATGGCGATAATCACCTCAACGGCAAGAAAAAGCCCAAGGTTGCGGATGAAGTCCCCCCCACGACAACAGCGGCTCATTCTGTGACGGGACTCTTGATTGGAACCATGGCCATTTTTCTCCTTTGGTCTCCTTACAATTACTACACATCTCGGCGAGTATTCATGGCACCCTTGTTCACACGAGAAGAATGTCAACACGTCATCCAAATGGCGCACAATGCCGCCCAGAAAAACTATGATAGAACGTTAGAGGCCGACCAGGCCAGAGAATTTGCTGACACCATATATGACAATGACGACGACAGTGATGACGACAACGATGACTATGAAGAGTTTCAGAAAGACAAAATTCTTCAATTGGAACCGCGTGGATGGCAAAAGACCCGTCATGCCAGTTATCCCACCACCGATCTCAACTTGGTGACGGATCCCTTTACCGGGCAAGATCGAGCATGGTTGGGACAGCGTTTTCATGCTCGGTTGGCACCTCTCCTGTCGCGCATTTTTGGGATCCCCCCACGCAGCATTCGGGCCAATGACATGTTTGTCGTCCGATATGATGCTCCACCCGATGACAATGACGATGAGACGGTTCATCGAGCCTACTTGGCAAATCACACAGATGACAGTGACATTAGTTTCAACATTCTCCTCAATGATGAATTCGAAGGTGGAGGGACTCGCTTTTGGGATCGATTGCACCAACAACCCTTTGCCCTTGTGCAGCCAACCGAACCGGGCACTGTCTTGACTCACTCAGCCCTTATCAATCACGAGGGAGCCACAGTAACCAAGGGAACGCGCATGATTTTGGTAGGATTCTTATCCGTGGACAAGGTAGATCCCTTTCATCCGGATCAATCTACAGGATTGTCCTTTTGGGCATCGTGGGGTAGCGGTAGTTGGTTGACGACCAAATTCAAACAGGCTCACATGATACGGAAGCGAGGATCCAGCGTTCCTTCTCCCGAAAGGGGCAACCAGCAGAAGCAGTGGACCAACAGTGTCTATGTTCGGCGGTTGATATTGGACCTGATTGGATTCTTCCAGGTGATGGGAGATGCCTTTGGGACTCATGCTGTCGAGGATTTAGTGCTCAGAAAGGACACGCAACCGTTCTTGGAGACCCTGGATCGGGCTGCTGAGCAACAGCCACTAGACGTGGAGAAGCAAGCAGTATGGTGGTATGGACAAGGCCTGCATCTAGATGTAGACGGTTCCATCGCCACCGAATGGAAGGCACGGAAGGAAAACAAACAAGCCTTTGAAGAGCTGTGATTGCCCAAGCCGAAGAAAGCTGTTCAGCATCACCAATAGCAGTATTACTACAGCTATTCGATCAATCGTCAACAGATGGCGATGTATGATGTATGGGATGCAGGAGTAACGTGCACGGTGAGCAGTCTTTCTGGTCGTGGCTCAAAAACCAAAACAAGCCTTCAAGCACACATGATTTTCTTTTCAGTACACTACTATGCGGTATCTAGTAGACAAGGATTTCACCGCTAGGAAGGTCTGCAATGATTTTAGCAAGTGGTGGCAGCCTGCTAGCTGGGTTTGGTTTTCAGTAAAATTCCGGACAGGCTCTTCCGCGTCGAACCCACCCTTCAGCAAGCCGCCGAAAGATGCCTTGGTCTCAAGGCAGCAGACAATCGATGGATCAAATCAATGTTCTACATGTATAGGACAAAGAATGGCCAAGCTATTCAGCTGGCTGACCAACGCAACGTCGTGCATTGGCTGCGCTACCCAATGGAATGTGGTTTGAAGCCCTATCGAGCTCCAAAGCTGTGACAATTCTGTAAATGGCGGCTGCGAAAAGCAACCGGCTGCTACCGGTATGGTAAGGGCTAGCTAGATAGACAGCTTCAATGTTAGTATTGACAGAGGAGTATTGGGACTTTGCTAGTTTTCCCAGCCGTGGCACCTAGGAGCCGAAAGGGACAAAACTATTATCTTAAAAGTAAGTACCCTCCTTGTGCTGTCAGCACGTCCGCCGAGGTAAAGATGTTTCCTTCTCAGCGATTAGATTATTATCGCCACTCAAGACGCAAGGATGAACTGTGCCATTTTTCTCGAAAGTTCGACCAAAACCTCCAGGTGAATTTTTACCGCGATTGACACCCTTCCAGAATCCTCTGGCGGATAAACTTGTTGTACGGGGTGCTGCCAAGACGAAAGATATCGGTAGATAAAGTACAAGCATGATGGCAAGAAAGACAAGGAAAGAACGGAAGGAGAGGCTGAAGTTATCTAAAGATGGCTTGTCGTACAGGTCTCGAAATTCGATGCTCAGGAATCTTCTGTTTGTGGGAATCGCACTCCTTTGTGCTACCTTCTCCTACCAGTATACTGCCACTCAGTCCTATTTGACAGATCTCCATGCCGTGGACCTCTCTCTTCAAAGTCCAGCGACTGCAAAAGTAGCAATGTCCAAGCCAAAGGCTGCTCAGCCTGTCAAGTCTAGTCCGACTTCTTCTGGTCAACATGACGCAAGTATTATCATCACGTCCAGTTTGATACCCATGTTCCCATCCATCATGTTGACGAATTCCACCATCCAATCTCTGCACAAACACTTGATTGGATTGCCTCTGGATGTCCCAATATTTATCTCAGTTGATCGACCACCAGACTCACAATTGAATGAGGGAGACAATAAACAACGATTGGAAGAATACATCCAAAGACTGCAGAAGGCTGACTTTGCTCCATTCACTAATGTGAAAGTGGTTCCCATGGAAGTACACAGGCACTTGGCTGGTAGCATCAATCATACCCTGGCGCTCCATGTCAAAACGCCAATATTTTACATCATTGAGCACAATGCTCCCTTTTTGCGCAACGTGGAGCACGAGAAACTGGTGCAAACCATGAAACAAAATCCCGATGTCCTTCAGAATATTCGATTCCTGCTTCAAGACGAACCACATGCTTGGACCGTAAGGTACGTGAAAAGACGTCGAATCGCATGATTCTCTTCTTGTCGTTTCGTTTGTTGAACCTCACCTTAAATTTGCAATACCCCGTGCGAAAGGAAATCATCCTGTCATGTCAAGAAATCTGCTCGCCAATTCAAAGAAAATGGAAAGGACTTTGTAAGGGTCGATGTGGATGTACCAAGCGGCGACCTCAAGCTCAATGGAATGGAGTTCTACGTCACAAGTAGCTGGAGATCATACAATCAAATTACTAGCAGAGAATACTATGACAAAATGTTGAAAGAAATTGCCTATCTGGTCCGAGACCCACGATGGCCCATGGAGAGAAATGCCCAGAACGATTGCAGTCAACACGGTCAGCAAGTGTATGGGCCACGGCTTGACGCTTATCCCTACATTCAACAGTTGAGCGTTGGGACGTGAAATTGAAGGAGCAACTGAGACCTTTAGGGTTTGCATGGCTTGGTTGGATTCGGTGCGGTACCACTGATGTTGCCGGGGACTGATCTCTCTACCACCAGTAGCTATTAGGGTGGGTACCGGTACGCCAATTTGGTATTGGGGGGTACCAATCGTAAGATGTGAACAGACAAGTGCAACATTAATAACAATATTAGATGTCCGTCCTGGCTAACCGAGAATGCCCCCTGAAGATGCTTGCTTTTGGACGATTACCAATTCCATGTTTATATAGCTCATACCGCCACTGTACTACAAGTGCCGGTACGAGTAGTAGGTCATGGCATGAATCATAACTCCATGGCACGGCCCATTGTGTGGGAAGGACCACCGACCCGTCCAACCTTGCAAGGTCGTCTTTAGAAAAAGCCTTCACAGCCTCCCCAAAGCCATACTGCCCAGTACTCTCCTCTCTCGCTCCTAGCTAGCCAGAAGCTCGTTCTTGCCTGCATGCCAGTACGCATCGGTGCACCACGAACCGATCCTCATCCAATCTGGGCTCGCAATCACTTCGGTCTTCAAAGGCATTCACTCATAAGTGGATGGACTGCCGTATTGCCCAAGCCTACGGCGGTATCGGTACTAACTACATCCGAGTATACGGAACTTCCATTTTTGTAATCACACTTGTCACAACATCATGCTTCCCTATCGTTAAGAATGCTCTCAGGCTACCTACCAAAGATGACTCAATAGAAGGTTACAAGGTTACTCACTCCCAAGACAAGAGCTATTGGACTGAGAATCTCTTCGTTCCAAGAGAAGTGCCACTAACATAACTCAATAGGTCATGTACGGGACCAACGCTGGCTTCCACAGCGGCGGGTGTCGCAGGGACCTCGTTTTCTGGATCCGAGCTGGGAGTTGGTTGAACACCAATGAGGACAGCACTGGCCTCTGCCACTTGGTTTTCTCCTTGCTGCGGTTGCTGTTGTTGTTGAATGTGCTGTATAGCCTGTTGCAATCGTCGTTGCTGCAGAGGCGTCGGTTGCTGGAAGTCGTCACCAGCAATGTTGAATTGCACAAGTTCGTGCAACAAGTTCTCATCCTCGGGCAAGATGGTACTGACACCTCGGGTCAGAAGTTGGACACCCCGCGCAATGTACGAGGTGCGACGTTCTGATTCGGTCAAGGATGCTTGGCACAAGTCTAATGCTTCCTGTACAAGAGCTAGATCACTGCGAACGTCCAGAACATTGTCTTTTACTTGCAGAACTTCGTCATGCGTTTCATCTTGTTTGGCACTCAGGTCATCTTGTTTACGACTGAGAGTATTGATCTGCGCCATGAGGGTATCCTTAAGATTAATGATAGCTCGGCCCAAGGAAGTGACGGCTCGGTTGAAGACCTTTTGATTGACCGGCAACAAGTTCTTGGCAACATCTGGAAGTACCGAGACAAGCACAGCATAGGAACCCCAACAGAGCCCAGCACCCATGAGAAGTTTCATAAATAACCTACCCATGCTACTGCTACCCGTAGATCCACTGACCACAGGAGCAGCTTGATGGATGATGATGGGTTGTTGTGGCGCCTGATTTTGTAGCGCATGCCCATTCGGTTGTGCCGAGAAGGCCTGAAAGAACTGGGCGCCTTTCGATAGTGTCAAAAAGAACTTCTCTGGATTCGTTATACAGAAAAATCCGAGCCCCACCATGGCTATTTGGCCCATGGGTAGGCTGACTGTAGCCGAACGAGCGGCATTACCCGCCGCAAACGACATGGTGGGTTGCTCGATGGGATGCTTGACAAGGTGACAAGGTGCCGATGGAATCGAATCTTGTGGTTGTCGCCACTCGCTGAAATGAATGCTAATGAATGTCTGTTCCGAATTCGTGATTGAGATTCCATTCAATCATGGACCTAAAGTCGCGCAACGGACAAAGACGTTCGCAAAAGCGGCCACTGGCTCACCCATTTCAATTCAACCCAATCAACAGACATGGCTATTGCTATCTAAAGTGAAGAGTCGGACCCAGCCAAGGGTTAGGTACTGCCTTGATGCACACGTTCAATAGACGAGATAGCAATAGATTCGATTCGATTCTACTAGCTAGCTCCTAGCGGTGCTCCCTGGTGCCAGATAGAGGTGCATTCATTTTTTCTGGCTTCCCAAAACCATGCTGACCGGAAGCATCAGTGAATAGAATGTCTACGGCAGAGGCACAGGGCATCCATTGTCTCGGGCCCATCTCAGAGTGTTTTGGTGCCCATACTGATTTGCAAGGAAGATGGTGTCTCCGTCCCAAGGACAGCCATTGGTTCGGGCCCATTTGAGCACTTCCAACTGTCCATTCCCAGCAGCATAGGCACAGGTCAACACAGTCCATGGACAATTCTGTTCACGGGCCCACTTCAACAAATCCAAATGCCCACTCCAAGCAGCACTTGAACAAGTGTTTGCATCCCAGGGGCAACCTTGCTCATGGGCATACTGGAGCAATTCCAAATGTCCATTCCCAGCAGCATAAGTGCATGTATCTGCATCCCATGGACATCCCTTTTCTCTAGACCATTTCAAAAGCTCCAAATGACCAGCCTCCGCAGCTGAAGAACATGTCTCTACATCCCAGGGACAGCCATGCTCTCTGGCCCATTTCAGTAGCTCCAGATGGCCACCTTGAGCAGCCTTTGCACAAGTGTTGCTGGACCACGGGCAACCCTTTTCATGGGCCCATTTCAGCATCTCCAGATTTCCATGTTCTGCTATGCAGGAACAGGTGATATTATTCCAAGGGCATCCATTTTCATGAGCCCACTTGAGAACTTCCCAATGCCCACTCTCAGCAGCATTTGAGCAAGTTTCTTCATCCCAAGGACACCCATTTTCATGGGCATACTGGAGAATATTCAAATGCCCATGAGCTGCAGCATTGGCACAAGTATTTCTGTCCCAAGGGCAGCCATTTTCGTGAATCCAAGTCAGCAGATCCAAACATCCAAGGATTGCAGCCCTGGAACAAGTCTCTTCATTCCATGGACAAGAATTTTTATGTGCGTACTTGAGGATCTCTAAATGCCCACGGGTAGCAGCTGCGGTACATGTGTCACTATTCCAAGGACAGCCATGTTCGTGGGCCCATTGGAGAACCTCTAAATGACCATTAGCCGAAGCACTGCGGCATAGACTTTCATCCCAAGGACAGCCCTTTCTGTGGGCCCATTTCAAGACTTCCAAATTTCCATTCCCTGCAGCAAAGGTACAGGTCCATTCATCCCAGGGGCAACCATTCTCATGAGCCCATTTCAGTACTATCAAATGCCCTTCCCCAGCTGCATTGGCACATGTGTCTCTGTCCCAATGGCAGCCGTTTTCACGAGCCCATTTCAGCACATTGAGATGCCCATTGGCGGCAGCGCCCACACAAGTGTCAACATTCCAGGGGCAGTTGTGTTCTCTTGCCCACTTTAGGACCTCCATATTCCCAGTCAACGCAGCTCCAGAGCATGTCTCTTCGTCCCATGGGCACCCATTTCGGTGCGCCCATTCCAGAACTTCTAAATGCCCATGTGCAGCAGCAGTGGCACATGTGTCACTGTCCCATGGGCACCCATTTTGATGCGCCCACTTCAGGATCTCTAGATGTCCATTTTCTGCTGCAAACTGGCAGGTCCATTCATCCCAGGTGAAACCCTTTTGGCAGGCCCATTGCAGAACAGGAATGCTCCCAACCTTTGCAGCTGCATTGCAAACTTTTGTGTAGCGATCTCTGTCTTGTTTGGTTTGCACATCCCAGTATTCAGCACATGAGAGACTTGAAAAGATGACATTCGTAAAAGTATCGGAAAACCTAGCCACTCTTGTGTCGTTCTGTGAAAGGTGCACTTTTGGAGGCTTTGCTACAGAAGAACAGAAGGCTCTATAGAATTCTCTCATTCGACGACTCACGGCTGCGACAAAGCAATGGTGGCCCATACCAACAAAGGTCAGAATATGGTTGACCCAAATATCTGAGTGATTCCACAGCTCGGGCTTGGAGACCGTAGAGGGCATGGTGCTTGTCATGGGGCTCTAAAAGAGGTAGAAACGAGGATCTTTTAAAAGTTATTGACTAGCTGGCCAGTAACTGCTCCTGTCAGCGACCGTCGATTTGTGATTGCGGCAGCCGTAACCTCAGAGGAGACAACCAAGCAACAGATACATTTCTGTGCACAACAGAATCACGGTTGGGTGCTGTGATGCTCATCAAGCACGTTTGATTATTGGATCCGGATCGATTTGAAGTTTGGCGAAAGTGGAATTCTCCAAAAGCAATTTTTAGCTACTAGAACTAGCTACGAATAATAAAAGAAAAACGTTGAACCATCAATTGGAGAGAAAAGGGGTTGTATCGGCACGACAACTTCACATGACCGGACGATTTCAATCATTTGAAAGCTATTCAAGCAGCTATGCAAGATGGTAATACGGAAGCTGCAAGGCAGCTCGTTACGTGAAGCAAGCATTTTTATTTGCCATTTTGTGATTCATTTGTTTATTTCTTCTTGCCGGTTGTCGTGTTGTGCATGAATACGCAAATGTCTCCTTCTTGCATGACATACGTCTTGCCTTCCTGTCTATACTTTCCATTTTCCTTAACCTTGGCCATACTAGCTTGTCCGGCATGTAATGCTTTGAAATCATCAAAGGATGCTATTTCGGCTTTGATGAAACCACGTTCAAAGTCCGTGTCTGCGTCATAGGGCATAGTCGAACAAAGTGAGCAATTCAGTCATCACAACCGAAATAGATAGACCACCACCAGCGACACTTACGAATAGTTCCCGCAGCCTGGGGAGCAAGGGTGCCCTTCATGATGGTCCAAGCTCGGACTTCCTTGGGACCGGCAGTGTAAAAGGATTGCAGGCAGAGCGCTTGACGTCCAGCCCTGATCAATCTTGGGACCATGGATCTTACTTCTGCTTGAGGTCCCTTGAGCCCTGCTGCCAAGGCGTCTTCCTTGGCTTGTGCCAACACGGCTACGAAACAACGTGCAAAAAGACGCAAGTAAGTGAGCCATCACCAGCCAGCTCCACTAAACAAACAAACCCAGTGGTTGATTCGATTCGATTCGATTCGATTCACACTAAAACTGGCACACACACACCTTTTTGAGCCTCGGGATCATCCTTGACGTTAAAGAGTTCGTCTTCGAACTCGACCGAGACAGGAATGATTTGACCACCACCGTGTTCTTTGATCCATTGATTAATCTTGGGCAACCATTTGGATCCCTTTCGAATAAAGTTTTTGCGCGACAAGTTGACCACGTAGATTTGTGGTTTGGTGGTGATGAGCCCCCAATCTCGAATCAAATCCACTTCGGCGGACGTAAACTCTCCCGTCTTTTTTAGAAAGCAAAGCAACGATAGAATTATTGTTGATTGGTTGATTGGCAAAGTAAGTAAAAAAGAAAAGGTTAGACGAATTGTCACCTTCGCCAGGGTCTTGAGAATATATAGAAACATACATACCTGCACGGGTGTATTGGAATCGATGAGTTTGGTGCATTTGGAGAATGCGTCGACAAATGTATCACTCAATGGCGGCACGGCACTTCTGGACAAGCCCTTTTCTTTGCGGACTCGTTCCCTTTCCTTGTCTTCAATTTTCCCAAGAGCATCTTTGTCTTTGGCACACAACTCTCCTTGAATGGTTTCCAAATCACGAATTGGGTCGACACTGTCATCGACATGAATGACTTCGTCACTATCAAACGCTCGAATGAGCTGATAGATACCATCCACAGCGGCAATATGACTCAAAAAGGCATTTCCAAGCCCAGCCCCTTCGCTGGCTCCTTTGATCAATCCAGCAATATCGGTGATTTTCAACACAGCGGGAACGACGGATGGTGGCTTGAAGGTTTCTGCCAAATATTTGAAATTCTTGTCGGGTACAATGGCCTGGACCACATTGGGATCAATGGTACAGAAAGGATAATTGGCGGCTTCGGCATGGCTAGCTCCAGCCAAGAGATTGGTCAAGGAGGATTTTCCAACATTGGGGAGACCGACTGATAGCGTACAGTACACAAAACGATCATAGCGAGAAGAATGACAAGACAAACAAAAGAAATGAGACAAAAGACTAGAAACCAAAGCGCTCTCCCTAAAAAGATCCGTCTTTGAGATCTTCTACCTACCAAATCCCATGGTCAAGGTATTCTTGACCCGACCAAAGCGGGCGGCCTTCATCATGGGATCATTGTCCTCGGCATCCTTTTTCTTCTTGGGCGGCATATTGGCTTACTATCTCGGGCTGGCTACTGCTTGTTCTAACTCAGGTGGTACGAAGTGGATGGAACGACGGCAGATGATTACTCAATGGCCATGGTTGAGGAATGGACGGTCACGGTGGAGCCAAACGTTTATCGCGCTTCCGCGTGGATCTTAGGAAACGACGCGCACTTGCTCATCAATTGAGTGTTATCGAATCTGCAATCGAGTGACTCGATTCGATTCGATTCGATTCGCTGCTCTCGTCGGCTGGACTTTTTGTCGAGGTTTCTGCAGCTGTGCATTCTGTTCCTTTTTTTGGTTTGCCGGTCCGAAGATACGGCAGCGGTGTGCTTATCAGGAACCACAGCAAGCTACTACTACTAGCCAGAAGAACACCAAGCCAAGAGCTAACTAGAAACCAATGCTGGCATTGGGGCTAAGCTTCCTTTCAACACGTCGGGTGTGTACCGTACACTAAACATCTAAAACCAAAGCACCATGTACAAAAGCAAAACGATGGGATTGAATTATGAATCCAATCAATCCTTTACGTTTCAGCCACCAGCCAGCTCTCCGCTAAGCTACAGGTCGTACCGTAGAGGGAAAGGGGCCGCAGCCGTAGTAGCGCTGGTAGTGTCATTGCCTCCAAGAGACGGGAGGGTCAGAAACGAGTGGCTGCAAGGAATTGCAAACCGCCAATCCGTGGGAGTTGAACCGCGGGAGTTGGACTTCAACTTGAAAGTGAATATTTTTGGCAACTGTGAGGGGGGTTCTCGATTTCGAAGGAAACGAGGAAGGAGGCAAAAGAAGCCTGAGGAAGACAAAGTTTGGTACGGTAGCTTACGGTACAGCTGTTGCCATGTGCTTGTTTGGGATCCACCTTCCTCGGTGCACCAGATTGCAGATTCTGCAGACATAAGACCATAGGAGCTAACATAGGACAGCTGTCTTTGCTCTGCTCCGACTGTACCAAAGCAGAACCCCACGTGTCTCCGATCTAGGAGCTCGTGGCTCCTTCTGCTAAAACACGCAGCTTTGATGTATCTTCCACCTTCCTCTATCTCTCTTTGGGTGGGTAAAGTAAGTGTAAAGTGTGATCGAGAGTGTCTCTCAGGTTCCAGCGAGCTTCGGTAGATGACCCTTGACCCTTGACCCTTGAACCAAAGATCCTCAGAAACCAAAGGAGGACCAGCTGGAGGACCTATAAATATCTTTCGGCACCGTACCACATTGATTGGAGTATCTTCTCTTGTCAGACACAGAGCGCCACGCGCAAAAATGTCCAGCTTCACAGTTGTTGCGTCTCGACCTCCTGCCATTCCTCTTATTATTTATTTGCAAACTCAGATCATTATTTTGATTCCCTTCACACAGCCAGCCCTCAGCCAGCCAACACCACACCATGATGCTCCAAGCACAGTCCACCACTCTCTCAGCCCTACTGCTCCAAGAAGAGCGCCACTACCTTTTCGGGGACGAGGCGAATGCCATCAAAGTCTTCAGTGAACATTCAGCAGAGAATATGGAAAAAATGACCATGTGGATGTTTTCCTTTCAAGAATTCGCCAACTACCACGAAGAAGTTGTGGAGATTGCTCATAGCATCCTGTACCGATTCCTCTTGACACCCGCTGGAGCTGAATCAATGCAATCGGCAACAGAGTTCCAAAAAGCAAGCATTGCGGCATTTTGGATCAGCACGAAAACGTACGAATTTGTCCAGCTGCCGAGGGAAGTTTGGGAGGCCATTACACGCAACACGTACACAACACCCGAGATCGAAAGCATGGAAAGCAATATCCTCAGTGCAGTTGGTTGGCTTGTTAACCCGCCAACTTCCTATGCTTTTGTCCGAGAAATCCTTGAACTCCTTCCAACTGATTTTGTCACGGACGATCAGAAGCAACATATCTTGGAGCTCGCCTACCTTCAATGTAATTGTTCGATCGGCGAAGTCGACTGCTTGAAGGTTCCAAAATCCACGATTGCGATTGCGGCCGTCGTCAATGCTATGGAAGCCCTGGCGATTCCAACTTCACCAGTATTGGCTGCCCTCGCCGGGTATGCGTCCGACGAGCCCCGTCTTTGCGCAGAATGGTGTTTTGAGGTTCCTGAAATCCAAGCTTGCCTCATGTCGTGGATGAAGGATTGCAAGGACTTTTTCGACGATGAGACTGTGATCGAAACTGAGCAGCATGGCAATCTATCTTCTGAGCCTCCCCACTCTCCTGTCACGGTTATGATTACCGATGATGAGCGCAACTAGCCAGTTAAAACAGGTTGCATCTTCAAGGCAAAAGGCAACGGGTCACAATCTCCTCATCCTCGGGGCGTGTTTTCATTTGCATCGATACGTATCTTTCGCTTTTAAAAGCATAGTGTAATATTAAACAGACAGCTTCGATATACTCTATTTGTTCCATACTAGCTAGCTAGATGGATACAGTTGGCTTTCGAGGTTCACCTGTGTTGAGTAGACTAAATGTATACAGTGGCTAGACTTTCGAAGATTTCAGGCCATGTTCCGTCGTTTTTTTTGTGGCTCGTCGAGAACACCGATAAAGCTATGCATAGGTACCGATACAGTACTCTCCTGGCACCGTAGCGGTATGACATCCCAGTACGACGAACAACTTTCTCTGGTCGTACCGAGAACCTTTCGAAGTTTGTCCGTGTGAGAAGGCTGGACTTTCGCAGGTTTTAGGCATGTTCCGTCGTTTTTTGTGTGTGCTCGTGGAGAACACTGATGAAGCTACCGGTATGGTACCGGTGGTACCAGTGGTACGTACGATACGGAGAACGACACTACGGTACTACCGGACTGTAGATAGATCTACTTGCAACCTACCGTACTGCTTGAATGATTGAACGATTGATCATTGATCATTCAATAAAACCCTATCAATTCTCCGCCCTCATGGTCTGACTGGTATACGGTAGTAAAACCTACCTCATCGGGGCACTTGAGCAGCTGAGATCGGAGAGGCGAAATGGAATACCTCGAAGTACACTCTGTGCGATGGTCTCGGGAGACGACGTATCAACCCAAGGCAGCAAACAGCCCGGGATTTTCTTCGAATCCATCAACGAGCGCTTTGCTGCCCGCGGCAGGGTTCTCACTAGTACTAGAGTGGAACGAAGCACGGTACTGCTGGTATATTCGCCCTGGTACCGGTAACGGTAGGATGAAAAGAAGATTCTTGACTTCTCTGCTTTCTGTTTCGAAGTTCCGGCCTTTTTGATTGATTGAATCATTCATAGTGGAGGCAAACGCTACAACCATCGCCGACTTGAGGGTATACATAGTGTTAGCCTCGTTCGCTTGCTGCAAGCATCATGGACCACCGAGTGACACACGCTGTCTGCGTTCCGGATCGAGAAATGAGCGTCATGTTGTGTTCCGGCAATTTCTAGCGTGTGGCGAACCTTTGAATCGAATCGAAGCAAAACCCGGAGCCATCGCCAGGCACTTCTGTTACGATCTTTCTCATTTTATTTGCTGTGATCCAGTGCATGCAATGGCAACGAAGTGTTCCGAGCATGAGCGGCTTATCACGGTCCGACGCGTTGGATTTCGTGATGTTCCGGCGTTTTTGCTGCTGGAGGCTCGTTCCGACGTTGCTTTTGTTAATGCATCAGAAGACAAGCGACCACTGCAGACGAAGCGCTACCACTCACCGGCTAGCCTCTATAGCTATAGATAGTGCTAGTAGCTAGTGCAATTTAATTAAACAGCCTAAACAAGGTAGATGTAACAGCAGCGCCAAATAATTGTCAATGTTTCGAAGAACGGAAGTGAAGCGAAATGGGTTGCGTTGACAATAATAATATTGCAGAACGAGCCGGCCAGCTACGCTGTACCAGTACGGGCATGATGACATGATGACGATCGAAGCAAGTCTCAAAACAGTGCAAAAACGCAGAGTGCCGCTACAGCTCGCTACGGCTGTACCAGGTACAGTCGTACCGATACCAGTACCAGGTAGTCTAGCTTTGGCCTCCTGTAGTACATGTACGCTTCAACACCAGGAAGATAAGGGCCATGGCCCCTTTTGAAAAATTGGCTTTTGTTGATCGCAAGGTCATAATTCCATTTGATAGTACATGTATGCATAGTTCTTCTCGAAACGAATAGTACCAAGAAATAAACATGAAAAGCTTCTTTGATTTCTCGCTGTGTACATGTATCTTGTCGGCAGCATTGTGTGGGGCAAAGGGAGAGGTGGTGTACACTGTCTTTGCAGCCGCGGAGGGAGGCTGCCAAGTGGGGACGAACAATATTTCCACTGTGATGGATCCGCAGGCGCAAGAGATTGGTTATTGCCAAAATCACGGCGTAGGAGCAAGCCTTTACAATTCCATCGAAGTGCTTAGTTGTACTGACAACTGTTTGTGCTTTAAGCAGTGGGCCTCGGACGATGCAGACGGCAACTGTAACGAATCCCTGGCACTTGGATTCAACGTCAAGGTATCCTGCTTTGACAAATGTTTACAGGACTGTAATGGGAATAACTGTGGCGATATAGCCTTGCCAGGCTCGGCTACCACTCGGTTGCAACTCACGCTCACAGGGTCGTCAGCAGCAAATTTAATATGCGCGACACCTGTGTCGGAAGACGAATTCGTCTGCGAAACCACCGGTATGATTAAAGACTCAGACGGAGACATTGTGGATGACTTCGAAATGAAAGATACTGATTCAGAAGCTCAGTCTCATGATGATTCAGATGCATCCGATGGCAATCCGCCTCAAGAACCATCTGGTGCGCCTCAAGAACAATCTGGTGCCGCGACTCAAGAACCATCCGGTGCCGGAAATATGGTCCCTACTCTGAGCACATCCTTGTCGTTTTCTGTATTAGGTATTGGTTTTGGTTTCCTCCTGCTGAGCTCTGTTACGAGTGATTCTTGTTCCAAATTCTGAAAGCATAAGCTAGTATATGTAACGCTGCACTGCCGACGAATTGAGTGTCTACCTTGTAACCTTTCGTCATTCGTCATTCTGTGTCAATGGGCTGGGAGACACTCCACTCGTTGAGATGGGTGGTGGCATGAAGGAATTCTGCCGCCCGCCCAGTACTTGGCAGCTGAGTTTGGCTTGCTAAGGGCAGCTCAGCTAGCTAGCTAGAGAAGAGTTCAAAGAAATCCATGTACGATTGTACGGTATGCATAGCTCCAGCAGCTAAGGCCTGGCTTATCTCCGCTGGTCCAAACGCAGCAACAGAGGGTCCTGGATCCCCCCATAGTGTAAGAAATAGTACGAAAGATTGATATGGATCCTGATTAAGCTTGTAGCCCCTTTGATACCTATCCTGTTGAGGCCGGGCAGAAGCAGTAGGAGGTACCAGATAGTGCTGTCTAGACTGCCACAGAACGATTGAATAACGAAAGCTCCAGCTCCTGAGGAGAGCTGGCCCAAAAGGGCCCAGCAGAGAGCTCTGCTGGCCCTCCTGTCTGACAGGACCAAGTCCCAGCTGGCTCGCTCCAGCGAAGCCCATTCCACTACTGGAACTAAAAGTTATTGGGCAAACACGTACCTGTAGACGACAATAAGTTACGCCTTGAGCGCCAGCACGAAAAGTTCCTTGCCCCGCCCAAGGGTTCCTTTTAAATAAACTCGACTTGGATGCGCCCAGATACCAACTGCGGCATCTGCTGGCTAGCAGGTTGGATGCCTTGTTGGTGTTGCTTGGCTTCAGGCTCGCAAGTTGTTATTGGTGGAGAGTCAAAGCGAGTCCAAGACTCTCATTGGCACCAGCCACCCAGCCAGTACTATAGCAACCTATCATGATACCGTTATGGCTCGTCAAGCAAGACAGAGAGAGCGACTCGACTCCAGGCAACCACAGAAAATAGCAAGCTATCAACACACGCAAAACCCTTCTAACCCAGCAAACAAGTAAGAACATTCACAGACTCGCAATTCACAAACCTTGCTGTTGTCTTGCTTCCCGTATACTGCTGCCTGGTTGACTGGTGACATGGAAATACCACAGGCTCGTTGATCGTTGCTTGGATTGCCACGTAACCGGCTATCTTCCCCTCCTTGTCTGTTTGACTGTCTATACTACTTGCCCAGATCGGATAGCCCGAAGGACTGGCGACCCCAAACACAGCAGTATCTTCAGCATCTGGCGGTGACAAACAAGTTCAGAAGCTGGTAGCTACAGAGTGCTTTCTAAACGATCGCAAATCTTCTGGGCCTCTCTAAAAGCTTCGACTGCTCGGTAGGATGATGATTTCCACTTAGCCGAACCCTGTGAACTGTGACCAGCAAATCCAGAAACAATTACAGGTGGCCTCCGTATCATGACCCAAAAATGACCCACTGGGTACCGGTGTGGTATTCACACCGTTGAGTACGAAAGCTACCTAATCGAATCGAATCCAAAAAATGAGTGCCCTGATTATCTGGCAACAAATCCACAACAACCTCCCCTACCATCAATCATCATGTCTTCACCTTCACATATTCTTCCATAATCTAGGTACTCTAGCAGATCCGAAGCAAACTGTCGTTGGATGTTCCAGCAGTTTCTTGCATTTATTTCAACCTACCGATACCCTCTTCTAGTTTTACCCGTTGCTTTTTTGCCACTTCCAAAGTTTGGCACAATGACACCCACGTCAGCAACTGTTGAAATCATCGAGTGCATGGTGCGCCAAGAGGCTTTCTACCATCCACCGGGCATGGACGAAGACCCTACAAGCGAACGTTTTTCGCCTGTGGGCGTTGAAAGCCGAGGACGAATGCTCAATTTCTTCTATGATCTGTTGGGGAAGATTGGCAGCAGCCGCGAGACCGCAGAGATTGCCGTTTCATATCTTGATCGATTCCTTGCAACACCCGGGCTTGGCAATCAGGCTCTTTGCAACAAAAAGCTTTTCCAGCTTGTATCTACAACCTGCCTTTACACTGCTGTGAAGGTCCATGAAGTTCAAGCTATGACTCCAAAGCTTATGGCGGACCTTAGCCATGGAGTTTTCACAGCAGAGGAAGTTGAAGAAATGGAAATGATCCTTGTGCAAGCACTCAAATGGCGCCTCAACCCTCCTACCTCCTTGGCGTTTGTTCGTCAGTTCCTGGACTTGGTGCCAGCAAAAGCCATGACACGAGAAATGAAGCGAACAGCATACGATCTCGCGCGCCACCAGACAGAACTGGCTCATGAAGACCCACGCCTGTTTTGCGAAAAGAAGTCTTTGGTGGCATACATGGCCGTTCAAAACACCTTGGAGCAGCTTGATGTCCCTTTCAACCTAGCTGATTCAGTGGGCGTGCTCCTTCTTGGGACACACAGCACCCAAGAGATGTCATCCTATCGTTATGGGAGCCTCCAATCGATGATGCAACTGAGATTGACGAGCAAACTGGGGCGATTTCTCCCATCCTTCATGTCCTTTCCTTCCTCAACAGCACCGTCGAGCATAAGAAAACGAAGTGCATCATGGCTATCCACACCAATTCAGCAGTATGACGAGTCGCCTCGTTCTGTTCACAACAATGCGCTGGCTGAGCCTAGCAAGGCTTGATTACTGGCGAGTCTTGTCAATATTAGAGCACATGATTCTGCTTTGTTCATAGCGCATAAGGACCGATACCTGTACCAATTCATTTAATAATACGATGGACTTTGATAGAGCCAATGTAAAGAAATTCGTAGCTCAAACGTATCAAAAGTGATCTGTGCTTGAATTTGGCGTATATGTCGAAGCATTGAGGAATGGCACTTGGTTTGAGATTCCTGAAGTTGTGATTTCCTTGAACCTGAGCAAATTGAACCAGGGCAAGAGGATTGTTGTGGATTAATGATTTTGACCGCTCTGGTGAATCTAGCTCAGTTGAAAGAGCAGGTGCCTTGAGAACCCAGTGTACAAAACACCGTCGCAGCCCTGAATTTGTTCTCGAAGACTCTTTTGGTTTTGTGGCAAACGTTGAACTATAGCACATGTGTCTATCCTAGTTGGTACTTTCGTCCTCCACCAAAATAGACATCATCATCGGCTACTCCTTTTCGTGATTGAATGAATGATTGCTTTGGTGGACCTCTGCTCTCTTGTTCTCAGCCTTTTTCATTTGAGAATTCAATACCCTTCAAACATTGGCATAGCCAAAAGAAAAATAACTAAATCAGATGCTGATTGTCAAACTTTTTTGTCTGGTTCCTCAATGCTCTTCGCCACAGGTTCACAACCACATGTATTGTATTGTATTGGCCTTTGTCTCAATACCCTTCATTGGAAGTGTCAATTTCAAAGTCCTTATATCTGGGGTCAGCTTGGACCACTCTCTTGCTAATGGAATGATCTGCCAGACCAAATCCGTAGGAAAAGCCGTAGATGGATATTTTCTTGCCACTGGTATCCAGATTTATGCGACCACCCCCGGTCACATCAATCTCGCCATACCCTCCACGCTCCAATGATTCCACCATGGGTTCTGCGGCATCTTGATGGTAGTTGGCAAATCTGGAGCTCACCACAAAATATTCAGGCTCAGTGCTTTTCGGCCTCGACGCCTTGATCAGTACATATTTGTGGGCACCTTCGTCCATGGATACGGCCGGTACGGATGACGTTGGGTCGGATCCAGCATTGCCATCGCAGGTAGCACTTTGTTCGGCTAGCCGCGCCTTTAGCGCAGCGGCCTTTCGCTGATCTTCTTCATTTGTCGTGTACATGCTGTCGGCGGAGTTTGAATGGTTAATCAACGTAGTCAACAGCAACTTCAGCAGAGCTTTCTTTCTCATGCCAATGACCTCGAGCGCATGCTCTGGTCCGCTGTGTTGGCATGATGCATGATGTTGGCAGCTGGAAGGCCAACCTGGTGGCAACCATTATCTCTAACTCTATTTGATGCTTGGTGATGGACGCGTGACGGACGGGACCTTTCCCGATTGTGACTCTTCAAAGCAAACTTGGTGGCTGCTTTCCGACCACCGGTATGTGGTCCCAGTTTCATTCATTGAGATTGGAAATATTTAGGTTTGTCAATACATAACTTTACCTCATCTACCAACTAAAACCAAATTTTGAAGGACAGGTGGCTGGGTGGATTCGATTCGCTTTCCTAAGCGGTACTCATATTGCGGGGCTGTAATCTTAGACTTGACCTGTTTCAGGTCAAAACACAGGATTAAGCATTGTACCCAAACGGTTCAATAGTGGTGCTTCCATCCCCATTAACACTTTTCTAAGTTAGGCAACAGGAAGCATTACACACAATCATACTTCCTCTGTTTGTGAGTCGAGCAGCTCCATCCAAAGCCATCCGTGATCGAGTATCTCTAAGTGCGAGTCCCTTATACCCTATGTGAGACACGAGTTCTGTGTTTACTATAGATCAATCAGTACAACCAGCGATTCCACTTTGAACTTTGTAGGTGTGCCGCGCTTTGTTAGCAAGCAACGGTAGCGTGTGTACTCACACTAGCTAGCTAGAATTATTATTAGTCACCAAACCTGGTAGAGCCCCTGGTAGCAAACAGGCGGGGTTGGCGGCCGATTTCGTCGTTTTGGTTACTATGGTCACAATTTCCCCGAAAGCATTCTCATCACTGCTGCTCCACTCTGCCATCACTGCAGACACTTTTTCGAGTTTGTGCCAGTTGAAACCAAGCAAACAATAGCAAGTCAAGACCAACAACATTCCAGTTAGTTAGCCATTAGCATCATAAGAAAGTTGATGACCAGATAGCATTTTCAGCTTGGTAACACAAACAGAAGCAGTACAGCACCATGGATCACGAGGAAACGTTGATGATTATCAGCGCCATGAGGCGTCAAGAAGAAACAGAATACTTCTGCCGAGATTATCTCAACATGGTGGAAGATCCTGCAGATGACGATACCGACGAAATTCGTAGTGATGCCAACGGTAACTCTTCAGCTCCCTGTGACGCCACATGCCGCCAGATTATGTTCTACTGGATGGTCCGAGTGGTGGATTTCTTCCCCTCCATGACACGGGAAACTGTGGCCTATGCCATGTCCTACCTGGATCGTTTCTTGCAGAGCAAAGCAGGAGCCGATGCACGAAGGAAACGCAGTGTCTTTCAGTTGGCTGCCATTTCTTGTCTCTACATGGCAGTCAAGATCCACGAATCGTCGGCGGTGTCACCCCAGTTTCTGGAAAAGCTTAGTCAAGCCGAATACACCGTCAAGGATGTGGAAGGCATGGAATTGACCATTCTGGCTGCACTTGGCTGGCGTATGAGCACTCCCACAGCGTTGGCGTTTTTGCGACAATTCATGGCCATCATCCCCAAGGTCTTCCTGAATGGGGATTTGAGGGAAGAAGTCTTCCAGATTGCCAAATACCAGACAGAAGTGGCCCTTAGTGACTACAAATATGTGACAGTCAATGGTTCTACTGTGGCCTACTGCGCCTTGTTGAATGCTCTGGATATGTTCCAAATTGACAGCATTCAAATTGGATGGTTTGTATCTGAGGCTGCTCAGATTGTACGAGACTCCATCTACACTATTCACATCCAGCAAAGCTTGGCTAGGGATCACGTTAATCACGCCACTCTCAAAGGATCTCCTGTCTCGGCTGGCTATGAACATGCTATTCGTTCCAGCATGAAAGTTAGGGCGCCTTCGGGGCACAACTCATCGCCCCGCACTGTCTGCAACACTGCGTAACACTAGCCAACTGTTACAGGTGACAATTTTACTGCATCTAAGTCATCTTACTACCTTCTGAAACTAACTAGCTACACGTAGAGCCAGTGACAAGCGTAGGAAGCTATTTGGGGTCAGTACAACCGATCCTCTCCGCTGGCTACATGTAGTCGATTGCTTCGATTACCTGCACCCTCGCTGCTCCTCAGCTCTTTTGCTGGCTGGCCATCAACCCAGTAGCTAGCCAGGCAGGTAGCAACCAAAAACGGGACATCTTCCGCTCTGTTTGCCACTGGCCAGCCAGCCCACAGCCTGATAGTCTTGCAGCAGCTTGAGTTGAGATGCCAACGAGGGTGGCAGAAGGAAAAAGCCGCCCAGTTAGCTATCTCCCATTGGTCTTATGACTGAGTCACTCACCAGCAAACATGGCTACTCGTAGTTTTTTCACTTGGTTGTCTCTTTGGGAACCATGAAGAAAGACACAGGAGCGATTGTCCGCCGTCACTAAATGTAACCACTCACATGGGTTCCTGAGAGGGGAAAATGAACAATAGGCGCCGGCCAAGCTGTGTTAAAAGAGTTAACGTATTTCCGAAATGGATCCCATTCGGAGTTTTCCTGTATCGTTTCTAGGCCTATACACAGTTTTGAATGGTTTAACATTGTAGATGCTTCTAAAATATGAGATTGTAATAAAGGTGTTGTCCTTTATAACGTGGTTTAGGCATTTCGGGTTCGGCTTGGGCAGGAGAGCACGAAACGTTTTGGGTTTGAGAGCACGAAACGTTTTCGGAAATGGGCGCCGGGTCGCTATTGCACCCTCGGAACCGATGTGGCACTACTTGTCGCCTGCGATGCGCGACTCATGTCAACTCGTGACTTGGTAGCCTGCACAGCAACTTCATACCGGTAGCAACATGGCAATCTTATTAAAGGGCTTGGTTGTGACCCGGAAAGGGGACTTGTGGTTGCTGGGTTGCTCCCAGATTGGCTACGTACCGTGTGCTCAAAGAAAGATCCAGATACCCCTTTAGTACCGTACAGGTTGCGAGGATTTAACCCCCGGTTCTGCTGTCCTAAGCGGACACAAAAGATTCAATCTTCTTCCAAAAGCTCTCCAACCATTGAGAGGAATCGTATCCTCCACATTTTCTTCATTCTTTCTCACTTCCAGCTTCCCAAGCAAAGTCACAAACAAAAGGAAAGCAATGCAACAATGGACATGATGACTACGACACTCGAAGCCATGTTCTCGCAAGAGAAGGCATATCACTGTCAAGATTACATTCTACAAGACAACCACAATGATCCCCAGTGGTTGGTGTGGAGAACAGGACTGCTTTCCCACGACGATCTGGCCATGAATCGTGCATTTCGAACTACCATGGTTGGTTGGTCACAGCAGGTGATTGATTTCATAGGGATGCGACGAGAGACTGTGGAATACGCATTATCATTCTTTGATCGCTACCTTCAATGTCCCGAGGCATCTACCGCTCTCAGAGATCGAGTCACTTTCCAGCTGGCATTTGTCACTTGCACCTACATGGCTATCAAGTTGCACGAGCCCACTGCCATGTCACCCAAGATTTTTGCCAAGCTCAGTCAAGGAAACTATTGCTTCCAGCAAATAGAGCGAATGGAATTCAACATTCTGAAGGCCCTTGGATGGCGTGTGAATCCTCCCACAGGCACGGCATTTGTCCGACAGATACTGTCATTGTTTCCAGACAAGCTGCTACCACCCACCATGAAAAACACAGTCTGTGACTTGGCCAAGGTTCAAATAGATCTAGTCTTGGGAGACTATCGGTTTGTGCCCATCAAGAGATCTACCCTCGCAATGGCATGCCTATTCAATGCCTTTGAGAGCCTCCAATACGATGAACACTTTTTGGAAATGACCCTTGCCCAGCAACAATCGCTTCAAGCCAGCGTGCTGTACAAGGAAAGCATGGATCAGGTTCCTTTTGTTCGTCATTCTCTCTATCAAGTCATGGCGGCGTTGCCACAAAATGCTGGTTTTGTCCACGGTGGTATCAGGTCTCCAGGCTTGTATGAAATGGCCAGCAAACGCGCCTCCTGCGAACAGCATTCTCCCCGTTCTGTCTACAATAGTAACTTTATCCGATAACACAAACGAACGGATCCTTTGGGAAAGTTGAACAACAACCCAGAAATCACTACACACTTCATACAAATGGGACAAGCTAAAGCTACAAAAAAGATGAAAAACTCAATCCACCATTCCATAACATTATACTTTTAGAGTCAATTCTAGCTAGATACTTTTGTACAGACAGTGGTAGCAGTAAAGTTAGACCATAGGATCGTCGAGGTACAGTGGTTGGGTTTCGCTGTTTGCGGTCAACACCAGCCAAACACTTAAAAAAGTTATAACCTACTAGGTCCTCCAGCCTCCTCAACGCAAGTGGATGCAAAAGAAGAGAGAGCTTTACTATCCTTGAAGCTTGACTATGACGCGGATACACTGCATATGCTACTCTCAGGATCTTGTGTGATACTTTTGCTAGAGATTTGCTGATATCTAGCTAGCTACTAGTAGACCTGGTAGACCGTGCCGCCAAAGAAGAACTGGTGTCACGGACGGATATCTACGATAGATTGAGCCGATACAGACCTGCCAAGGACGAAATAGACATGCATGGTGGCCATTAATGACTCTCTCCCTCTATCTGAAGCTGCATCTGGCCCCGTGTTAGGCTGATTTCGGATAGTGGAGACGCCGGGTGCTTGAAGGATCTTTTCTTGGTGTTGTTACCGTGGGTTGCTGGTTTGCTGGCCCAAAAGATCGTATCTTTGGGCGATCGTAGCTCTGCTGGCATTTCTATTACACCGCCCCGACGGGAAAAAACAAAGGGCTCAATCTCTGGCTTTTGTTGCTGGCATCATCGATTTTCTGCATCTACGTTCTGCCAAGATTCTATTGTGGTATGTCTTGTGGAACTTGACTTGACTCTTCGGCAAAAGCCTTCTCATTTTTTCATATATGGAGCCTACCGTTCAAGCAACAGTCTCCTTCACTCATGCAGAAAAGTTGGCAATACAGGAGGCTGCAAATAATACCAGCGATCTCAATCTAAAAATCTTCTATCTGTTATTATTACTTGCAGGAGCAGAAACTGATTTCATCAATCAATCCATTAGGAATCAATAAGTTCCGGTGCTGGTTCCATTCCAATGCGGTCTCGCAATTCCTGCAAGGGCGTATCAAATTCTCGTTCGTAGTAAATTGTCAGAATGGACCCTCCATGTGGATCTTTTGCCTGCAACTGTCGATGAATCCGCGTGGCCCACGGCAGGTATTGATTCCACAAAATATCAAATTGCGCATAGGGCAATCCAATGGATCCGACGGTACCACTCAACGCCGCAATGGGCAATCCGGTTTGAAAGAGTTCGAGCCATTTGAGCCCCAATTCTCCCAACACGGTGGGCGGCAATCCCGTCAGTACATGCCAATAATCATGACATTGTCGATAGCGCAGTATAATATAAGCCAAATCTTCGGCATCTTGTTGATTGGCTGCAATGTGCGCCACCGGTTTTCGTTCGTCCGGATCGAATTCATGATGCAGCAGGAACTGTCCGTAGGCTTGTCCAAAGGTGATTTCGGCTGGATCCGTGTTGTCATTATTAATGGCACGGGCTTGTTCCAGGTATTTTTCGTAGGGAATGGTAGCCTTGGTGACGATGGGTTTTTCTTGCAAGATGATTTTTCCGGTGGGATGTTGTCGCATTTGTTGCAGGATCCGTTGCAATGCCAGCGTCCCCGTCACTTCCCCCAATGCCGCCACGGCATCGTCACGAGTGGGATCTCGAAAAGCCGTGGCGGCGGAATTGACTGCCACGGAGAGTCGTTTCTGGAAAGAGTCACTCGGGTTCTTGCTAGGCGGTGGACGAGGCAATCCATAAAAGGGTATCTTTTCGTTCTTGTCGTCGGTAGCAGCGGATCTCGTCGCAAAGAAGGCTCGTCTCACAAGGGTAGCACGATGATAATGATGCCGTGGACCCTTGGAGGGCAGCAGCAATGAAGTAGCAGGGCGGATCATGGTACATGTAATGTAAGGGGAAAAGGTCAACGATCTTTGCAACAACCAACCGCCAAGGCGCGAGCGAGGTCTGAGAAGAACAAAAATGAGGGTTGAGGGCAAGTTTGCGTCTGAAGAACGTGGCCTTCACAATGAAACGGCTGCTTAACGCTGCCAAGCCACGTACCCAGAACCTTCGAACGACACCGTGGGATGAACGCCTCACAATTTTAATTTGTTGACCAATATCTTTTTCAATCAACAGCATTGGAAAAAGTAGTACAGTACCATAATAACTTTCTTGCTCGATAAAACATCATTGCAATAATCCATTCATCACCATGGCTGCTATTACCCCCGACCGCAAGATTATTGACATCTTGAATGAGAAAAAGGCTGCTGGAGTCAAGACATGCCTTTCTCTGGAGTATTTTCCTCCTCGCACAGAGGAAGGTGTCAAGGTGCGTCATTGTTTTGTTTTTGGATTGTAGTATTGTAGTTGTCCTTTTTTAAAATGGCAAGATAATGGTACCTAACGTTTCATTTTGTTCTTTTTCGATATTAGAACCTCTATGCCCGCATGGACCGCATGAAGGGTGCCTTGAGCCCACTCTTTACCGACATGACGTGGGGTGCCGGTGGTTCCACTGCTGACTTGTCGTTGGAATTGGCATTGCATGCCCAGAAAACCGGACACGTCTCCAACTTGCACATGACCTGCACCAATATTCAAGCAAAGGAAGGCGAGGAAGACGTCGATCCCAAAAAGGCAATTCACGATGCATTGCAGGCAGCTTTGGATGGAGGCATTCGGAACATTGTCGCACTGCGTGGGGATCCACCTGCTGGAGAAGAAGAATGGAAAGCCAGCGAAGGAGGTTTCGCTTGTGCTTTGGATCTGGTCAAGTACATGAGAGAACATTTTGGACAAGAGTTTGGAATTTCCGTCGCCGGATACCCCGAGGGTCATCCCAATGCCATTTCCGAAGTCGCAGATCCATCCACTTTGACCGAAGCCGAAAAAGCAAGAAGTTCCTCCTTTGACGGAAAAACATACTGCTGTTTGGATGCCGACTACAAAAAGGAAATGGACTACTTGAAGGAAAAGGTCGATGCTGGTTCTGGTGAGTTCCACAAACACAAACGCAAAAACGGTGATATCCACGCCGTTTCTCTCTTTCTTCTCGCCTTGTTTCTCACCCTGCTACTCTCTACCACTTTTTAAATCGAATTGATTTCAAACAAACCACGAACCAACTCAATCAATCAAATCAATCATCAATCAGACCTCATTATTACTCAAATGTTCTTTGACGTCGAAGTCTTCAAAACTTTTGTCAAGGATTGCCGCAAATGGGGAATCAACTGTCCCGTCGTACCCGGTCTCATGTGCATCAATGCCTACGGCGGATTCAAGAAAATGACAAAATTTTGCAAAACTCGTGTCCCCGCCGATCTGGATGCCAAGATGGATTCCATCAAGGACGATGCCGCCGCCGTCAAAGAATTTGGTGTTGAATTTGGAGTCAAAGTGTGCCAGGATTTGATGGATTCTGGATTGATTGAAGTCTTGCACTTTTACACCTTGAATTTGGAAAAGGTCGTCTACGGAATCTTGGACCAGTTGAAATTGAGTGACAATGCACTGGCGTTGGTGAATGAAAAGGATGCTGCATCCATGGTAGCCAAGGGAAGTGCCTGGGCTCGAGTAGGAGATGAAGTGACCTGTGAGCATGGCAAGGGTGTCGTAGACGAATTATTACCGGATGGTTCTGCCGTCATTGTCATTTCCGGTAAGGACGACAAGGTCACCATGGCCAAGGGAGCCTACCAGAAAGTCTTCTAAGTGGAAACGCAGGCATTGCGGCTAGCTTGCTGGATGGAGCATCGGAAACGAGAACCCTACCTGCCAAAGGCTGGAAACTACTACTCCAATTCACCAATAAACATATTTTTAGATGCATCTGATGTTGTTGATGGCCGTGGATTTGATACTCTACTATGTAGCAAGGTGAATCTATAGAGTCATTACTAGACTGACTGAGCGCCATGGGAATATATGTGGGGATACAGCCACAGCAAAGATCCAACAATGATTGGTTGGACCTCAGGAATAATCCATGTTGATTGGCACCCTTTCTCACCGCAAGCCTTGACTTGGACATGTTGACTGGGGCACAGATTTCTGACGTAGTTGACACATTAGTCCAGAGTTTCTTTTTGAATTCAGCACGCCACCAGATAATATAAGTTGTCTGTGTGGCTGGATGCAGAGGAGTTGGCTGCAAAACTTTAGAATAATGAAACGAACAGCACAGCTGGTCTACCAACAGTCTCATGGCTGCCAATGCCACTAAGAGGAATGCAACAGGAACTGGCCTAGCATGTTCCCAGAGCAAGCAAGGGACCCCCACACTCTCATCCTTCCCAAAGGAAAACCGGAAAACCGTTGCCCATGCATGACGTTGATGATCGTGACTGCAGCAGAATTTTAGTCATGAATTCGCTCAAAACGACGTGATCACGTGTTTCAGAAGATCCACAAACCAAAGTTGTCGAATGCACAATCCTCTCTGTAAAGGTCCAGAAGGTGCTTGTGAGTACCATCAAAGAAGTACAACCTTGCTTCCTTGTTGCCAACAGAAGTGTTAAAGCAAGACCATGTGGAGACGACGACGACGGCACTCGGCTCCTCCCGATCACCTCCCCTCCACTCCTCGACGCCACCGTTCCTCCGTGGCATCTCAGAATAGCAGTTTGAGCAGCCATGCTCATCATCGTCCGTGTCACCAGCAGCATCAGCCACAACAATACCATCATCATCATCCATGGGTGGTCATGCCTCGACCACAATGGCGACAGCATCAAGAAGAAGAAGAAGAGGAAGACGAATTTTGGACCATTGACGAAAAGAGCAGCTTCCCAGCCACTTCATCATCCGTTCTGACCAACAAAAGTACATGGCAAGAAGAAGCTCATTGGATGTCGTTTCAAAATGCCGTGCTCAAGTTTACATCGACGCTGAAAATACACAAGGAAGACTCCTTGGATGATTCCTTTGTCGGCGAAGGAAGTACCAGTTTTGTTTCGGCATCGGCCATGAGCGTTTCGGACGACGAGGATGAACCGCCTGTACGACACATCATTCAACAACCACAAGAAGCAGAGGAACCACAACAACTATCATCTTCTATCGTGCTAGTGGGAAACAATTTGGACGACGGAGCAGAAGAGAGTGGGTTGAACAGCAGCAACTTGATTCTCAGTCATCGCAATGAAGAAGGAATCGCTTTTACGGCTGCCAGTGGCGACAATTCTGCCAGATCCAACCAGTCTCAGAAAAGCAGTAGCAGACGGAGCCACAGCAGCACTGAGGCTAGCAGCAACAAACAAAAAACAAAAGAACAGCAAAAGAAGGGGGATTCTTCGACAGCCTTGATACAATCCATGGCATCGGAGCTATCCGAAACCAAGATGCGCCTTGCATTAGCACAAGCCGAACGGGATGAGCTAGAGTTTGCCTTGCTCATGGCAGGAAGGACCGAATCTGGTTCTAGCTAGCTAGCTGGCTTGCCACATGTACCTACCTTGATACCTAGCTACCGTACTATGCAACAATCCACAATCAATTGTTTGCCATGTTCCTTTGCAGGCGATCCCAGAACAAACCATGTGAAGCTATCGAATGTTCAATCATGTTGTGAAATAAGAATCCCATATACTAGTAGTACACGTACCATTAAGAAGAACGTCTTCCTTGAAGTCAAGTCCACTGCCTCTGGTCTCGATTCAGTGGACCTGTGAAAGCAACATTGTTCTTGATGGACTCAGTGCTAACCAAAGATTTGTGTCTGAAGAAAGTGGTGGATAGATGTGGAATGAATAGAACCTTCCGTGGTACCATGCTGTTGGCATACCGGTACGGTATATCAAGGCTCGAACAACACTTACTAGGAAGGCATTCTCATTTAAAAGGCACTACGGTACGTGAAGGTTCACTTGAGTGCTACGGTATTTTACAACTATATCTTTCGTTTGTCTTCAGGAGGGTTGTCGGATGTAAGTAATAGGTAAGTGTAATTAGCAGTTTCTCGAATGGATTCGATTCCATGTGTGCAGATGAACATCGGAGCTGTCAAAGAGGTAAGGATGAAGGTCACAGAGCCACAGAGAGATCGATTTGGCTCCCCAGGGGAAACGAATCGAATCTTGTTGATTTCAAATTCGAACAATTCAATCAATGAGTAAATTATGAAGTCAGCAAATCCCCAGGAGAATCAAATCTTGTTGATTTCAAATTCCAGCAATTCCATTCAATCAATGAGTATATTGTGAAGTCGGCAAGCAGGCAAGCAAGCAAAGTTTTAGAGCCCCTTTTCCTTTTCGGCGTCTTCCTCACTGGAAACACCACGACGTTTCCAGTATCGAATCTTGGAGCTGAACAAGTCATAGCTCCATTTGATGTTGAGTGCACAAAAGACAGCGTGCATGGGGAAGCAGACGAGGATGACATTCCAATAGCTTCCTCGTTCCTGGCTGTACCAGAAATAGAGTTGCCAAATGGGAATGAGCATGTAGGGGTAGAGAACACACCGAATGGCGATCCACGTAATGTAGAACAAGATGGAAATGAGTTTGATCCGAATACTGACAAAGGAGAGGTCCACAATCCATGGAGGGAATCCTTGTTTGTTGAAGACGCGACGCGCAATGAGTAGCCAAGTGTTGATTTCGACAATCATACAGGCTCCCATGCACCACCGGACCGGTGGGACTGAATGAGGGACCATAATGTAGACCAATGTCGCCAAATGATGTTGAATGATTACCGAAGGACTTCGGACACAATCGGGAGCCACCACAATCCATATCAAATCGGCAATGAAATACAGAATTGTCGCGTAAAAGAACTCATAGTAATACTCTCCGGTCCAGGCATCCCCCAAAGATTGGAGTTTGGAAGGATTTTGTAAAATAGTGTCCCAAGACCAATTCATCATATTCAGTGCCACCACCGGCACGAGTACCACGAGATTGAAAAAATCATGCAAATCTCGACTCCAATTTTCGGGGTGTTTGGGGACACCTGGCAACACTGCCACGACCTTGTTGGTGTTTTCTTCCTTTTCCACACAAAAATGCTCTTCCAACAATGATGACCGACCACGACTCAATGACGGCGGAGCACTCAGAGATCGTCGACGCAAACGTCGCCCTAAGCGTCGGAGCGCCGATTCTTGGCGCTCTGGTTTCATCATGGGAGGCGGTGTCGCGGGTGGTGGTGAAGTGTTGCTGCGAGCGGCTTCGACTTGGGCTGCCACAGCAGCGGCATGAGAGAGACTGCGGCTAGGCTCATCTGCTATTCGTGGCGCCATCTTGTCGCGAACGGTTGGTTGTCTGTGCTGACTGTGGCAAGGTGGCGATTCTCTTCTCTTCACCAATTTATTGGAATGAAAGCAGCTTGGCTTCGATAGTCGTTGTCTTCCTTGACAAGCACTCACGCAAGTACTTGATACTGCAGATTGTCTTGAAAGTAAGTGTAGTTGTTCAGATTTGATTCTTGTGACGGAAGTGATCTCTGATTGCAGCTTCTTCTTCCTTGCCCCAATTGCAAGCATTGCCTCGTTTGCTCTTGCGAGATTCGTGACGAGACGGCAACTGTCCAAAAAATGGGCAAGTGGGTTCGTACTTGTAGGTTTTGGCGAATGAACGTACGGTAAAGACTGAGTCGAGTCCCGCGTGTCAGGCATCCAACTACATACAGTGTATTCCAATGACGGGGTGCCCTGACAAAAGATGTCATCTGTTGTGCTTCCCAAGTCCATCCGGCCGGCAAGGAAAAGGTAGACTACATGCACATCGTGC